ATTATAAAAAATAGAGACATTTACTGAAGAAGATACAAGATACAAGAAATATTGTACACAGGACGATGACACCTCAGTCCCCTTCAAAGTAGGCACCTTGGGACCTCACACAGTTTTCCTAGTGTCTCTTCCACTGTTCAAAACACTGCAAAATCCTTTGTTGGAATCACCATCAGCTCCCCTGTTGCATTTTCCTGAATCCCATCGACGGTCTGAAATCTCTTCCCTTTCAAAGGTGATTTTAGTTTTGGGAAAAGCCTAAAGTTGTAGGGCACCAAATCTGAGCTGTAGGGAGGCTAAGTCACCTGGATGATTTGATGTTTCACCAAAAAACTGCGTGAGACATGATGCATGAGTGGGCAGATGCATGATCATGATGAAGCTGCCAATCACCAGTTGCCCTTAGCTGTAGCTGTTTTCATTGTATTGCATCTCTCATCTGATGAAGAATATTGAGGTGGTACTCCTTATTAACTGTTTGGCCTGGGAGGGCATACTCATGATAGACGACAACTTCCCAATAAAAAAAAACACAATTAACGTGGTTGTGATCTTGCTGTGACTTTGCCATGCCTTCTTCAGGCATGGAGAACCACGCGACTTCCATTAGGACAACTGGGCCTTTGTTTCTGGGTCATAGCCATAGACCCATGATTCATCTGCAGGTGTGACCTTCTTGAGGAAATCTGGTTCATTGGTAGCAGTTTGAATCAAGTCATTAGCAACTACAGCACAATGTTCCCTCTGCTCTGGTAGTAGAAGCCTTGCAACGAATTTTGCCATGACATATTTCATGCCAAGATCCTGCGTCAAAATCTTGGACACAGTAGTTTTGGAATCCCCAGATCAGGTTCTAGTTCTTATACTGTCAGTTGCAGATCTTTGATGACTATAGCCCATACAAGCTCAACATTCTCAGGTGTTCTGCCTGTTGCAGGCCTTCCAGAATATGGATTATTTTTGACAGATTCTCAACCATCTTTGAAGCATTTGTGCCACGCTTTTATATGCACTGCACTCATCAAATTGTCCCCCAAAGCCTTCTGAATCATTTTAATAGTTTCCACAAAGGAATGTTCCAGCTTAACACAAAATCTGATGTGGATTCATTGCTCTACTCGCTCAGTCCTTTTAAATGCAACGGCCACACAGTACACATGTTCACTCAACAGCATCTACCATTCCCACTGACTAGTACAGTGAAGTCATCATTGTTCATGTATGCACATTCCAGTCCACTCTCCTTGGCTGCCAGGTTACATCAATGTCTCACAAACCATTCCAGTTATATTAATAATGGCTGGACTTTTTCCAGACAGACCTTGTGTGTGTGTGTGTGTGTGTACACACACACACACACACACACACACACACATAATTCAGAACTATCCCCAGTTTCAGGAATGCACTGGGGGTCTTAAAACATATCTCCCTTGGGAGTAACTGCAAGAACTTTATCAATGGAGAAATGAAACCAAATTTGTAACTACCTTAAATACATTGTCTGAACCCAATGAAACCAAACCAACAAACAAACAAATCAAACTGTCAACCAGTTATTTTACCTTTTATAAGGCAAAATGGCCTTATGGTCAATTAGTCATGCAACAAAAATGCGGCAAAAATGTTTGTGGCAAAGATGCCTACAGCTAAAATACCGAACACAACTGGGAACACCCTTCCTCCACATCTCTGCACCGCTCTCTCATCATCAGGTCTCAGAACAAGCGTCATGTCCTCAGAGAAGCCTTCCCTGGAAAACTGACCCTCTTGTTCTCTCTTCCAGTGCAGCCTATTACACTGCCCCTACCAGTCAGACTTCATATTGCCTACCACTTTGTTGTTATTTTTTTTGTCCTCACCCGAGGACATGCCTATTGATTTTCAGAGAGAGGGGAAGGGAGGGAGAGGAGAGAAACATTGCTGTGAGAAAGAAACATTGATTGGGTTGCCTTCCATACACACCCTGACTAGGTACTGAACCTGCAACCTAGGTTTATGCCCCACTGGGAATGGAACCCATGACCTTCTGGTTTATAGGAACTAGACACTGCAATCAACTCCAAGCAATGGAGCCACACCAACCAGAGCATGCCTACCACTTTGGAATCATCTTCTTTATGTATTCTTTCATCATCTTCCCTCCCTAGATAGACTGTAAGCCCCAGGTGGGCAGGAACTGGCTTTTTTCACTGCTGAATCCTAGCCTCCAGTATCACTGGGAACTTAGTAAGGGGTCAGCCAACATTAGCCGCTACTTTCATCTTTCTGTGCTTAGGGCTTGGTAAACAATGACAGCTGCCATGCAGTCAGGCTGGGAAGGTCACTCGCGGGCAGGAATTCTTAATCTGCAATCTATGACCCAAAGGGCCATGAACTTGGACAGGAAAAAAAATCCACCTATATTTTCATGAGGGAAATATAACATTTCCATCAATTCTAAGTGTCAGCAACAAACCAGAGGCCTGTTAGCAGTAGCTGGGACTTCATCACTAAAAGAAATCACAGCGATTTCCATATCCTGCCACAGTTGCTGCAGTATCTTGAGATACTGCTGATGCTTACTGCACCTGGGAAATCATGGTGGTTTTGGATCATTGTTATTTAATGTTTTTTTTTTTAAAGAAGAATGTATGTTACTAAATCACAAATTTTAAAAATACTTTGATAATTGTTTCAATATTCAGTGTAGCTGTTGTCTTTTTTAATCCTATGTATTTTGTTTTATGGGTTTTAAAAACAGTATTCTGCCCTGGCTGGTGTGGCTTAGTGGATTGAGCACCGGCCTGTGAACCAAAGGATCACCGGTTGGATTCCCAGTCAGAGCACATGCCTGGGTTGTGGGCTGGGTCCCCATTGTGGGGCATGTGAGAGGCAACCACACACTGAAGTTTCTCTCCCTCTTTTCCCCTCTTTAAAAAATAAACTAAAAAAACCCTTAAAAAATAAACTGGATATGACCTAAAAAAAAGATTTCTACATAATAAAAAAAACAAAAAACAAACAACCCACCCCCAGCATTCTGAGAAGGGTCCACAGGTTTCACCAGATGCCAAAGGAGTTCATGACACACATATAAAAAATACCCTATAAAGGAGTCTCTTAAAAGAGCTAATGTGGTCTATCCCTGGCCCTTCTGTCAGCTGACATTCAGCCCTCAAGGACAGGCTCAAGAGAGAAGCCCGGAAGAGCAGTGAGAACAAGGTTTCCAACAGACACCCGATGGCCTACATTTCCTATCTCATTTGTAAGATTACGACACCTGCAGCAGCTTTGAGCAGAGACCTGGTACAAACAACGGGGAGCCCTCTGGGCAAAAGCCCTCTCTAAAAACAACACGCAGAAGAGCACCCAACTCTCCCTCTGTCCTCTGCCTGGGCCGTGCGGTCTCCAGCTCACAAAGTGAGTCTTGGTGCTAGAGCAATGTCTGTCCTTTTCCTCTGCATTGAAAGAACTATTTTTCTTTTAAATGCATTCAGAAAGTCAGCACATTAAAAAAAAAAAAGTGAGTCCTGCAGAAGACCCTCTGGTTAAAATTAAACTTCTCAACCAAAATGCTCTTCAAGGCTGAAGAAAGACACGCTCTCTCCCTATGAATCTGGAACTAGACAAAGGGAGGGGGGAAATGACATTCCTTGTTATAAATCCTCTCTAATCCGCTGAAGAAAGCAATGTATCTGAAGTCACAGATTGTGAATATGGGGGGTTCATTCCAGGAGGTGGAGCACAGGGCAGTGTTCTGGTTTAGGTTTAAAGCCTGACTCTTACAAACTCAAAATGCACTCATCAGAGTGGGAGAAGTGAACAATATAGAAAGAAACACCATCTCCAGGATCCTTTCTAGAGCCTGTGGAAGGCAGGAGCCGTGAACATCATGAGGCAGTTTCTTGGCATCTCAGCCTGTGAATCATAGCTCTCACATGGGTTCATTGAATGATCTCTAATTTAGGAGCAGAGCAACAGAAGGGCCCCAGATTAACTTCGATTTTTGTCCTCCCCCTTTCATTTGGAGTTCCATGGGCCTGAGTGTTGGTGTCATCTATGATAAGACTCAGGTTATCTATGGTGGTTCATCTTCATGCTCATCACAGTAAGAATCTGCCCAAGGTATTGGGGGGAGAAAAGTTGGAGGTAGGTGGAGTTGTGGGGAACCAGCTCAAAGAAACGACTCATTTACACATCACATTATTAATCACAGAGCAACCAAACATGCAGAGGACAGGGAGGAATGCCAGGGTTGTTGAGATGACGGTATAATGTAAAAGGTTCTTATGAGACAAAGATAGGCAGGTGCCTGTGCACAGAATATCTCCACAAGGCTATGCTAGAAAGTGCTAACAGTGAGTGTCCCTGGCAAGGGAGGGGGTTAGAGGTGGAACTTGGGCATAGGAGGGAACCTGACTTTTCTGTTACACACTTTTTGTACCATTTAGGTTTTGTACTATGCATATATATTATTAATTACAAAGTTATTGTTTATAGTATTGCATGTCAGAAGGCATTGCAAGAATGTAGCAGGTGATTAATAAACATATTAAACCATGATGCTGTTTAAGGAACTAGTATTTATGGATTGCCTACCGTGTGCCCAGGGCCCTCTGGCAATGACTTTTACTGATCTTAGGAAATGGAGGCTCAGCTGGGAGGGAGCGGAGTGAGGACTCCTCTCAGGTCTGCTGGAAGCCAGCACTCTGCCCCTCAGCAAGGACCACACTGCCTTCCTCCCTGGAGTGAGCAGTTGGAGGCACCAGATGCTCTGGCAGGATCCAGAGAGATGCCATCTGTGAGGGAAACCTATTCTTAGAGAGCAGAGACAGTCAGCGGTGCAGTCAGCCAGCTCCCAGTGGCAGTGGGGGGATGTGGGGAAGGCAGGCAGCCAAGGCTTTACCTTCAGCTGGCAGTTAGGACAGGCTAAAAGTTGGGTACACTCAGTTCTCAGGACCACACTTCCTTCTACGTTTGGATGCCATTAGAAATAACAGCAAAGATTTACTGAGTGCTTACTTCACGTGTGTCATAGCATTTAATCCTCCAGATCACTGTACAGAATGCCTACCTTACACAAGATGAGACACAGGCACAGAATGGTTAAGTCACTTGCTCTAGGAAACAGCAAAACCACAGCTGAGGCAAGACACTGGCTACAATGCCTGTATCCCCAGCCACCATGTTAAATTATCTCTCAACCTGCTACACCAGAGGCCCATTTTAGTTTGGGTTCCCCCAGCAGCAGACCCCAAGACAAGGATTTGAGTACAAGTGGTTTATATGGGAAGTAGTCCCAGGAAGCACTGGCAGGAGCATGAGGAAGGGAGACAAAGAAGGGGGTGTTATCAAGCAAGTGACCACTGTGGGCAACCGGAAGCTCAGTACAGCTGAGCCCTGGGAGCCAGAGTGAAACATGCCTACTGGGTTAGGGGTATAGGAGTGTCTTCATCGGTCATTGGTTGAGTGCTGCTCCCTGGATGTGTTAATCCTCCAGCACCGCAGGGTGGCAAAGCAGGTGCCAGTGGTAAGTGAGAGCTCTCAGGCAGAAAGACGAGGGGTGGCACTTGTAAAATTTGGCTGGTGTGCACTGAAGTTGTAAGCTAGAGGCGATATGGGCAGGGCACCCCCAGCATCTGTTATAAAGCCTGCTTGCTGATAGCCACCCCCTTCCCTCCCCATAATTTTGGGATCTCATTCAGCCTCCACAGAGTGAACTAAGGAAGCTTCACGATCCCTTTCTCCAAGTTTGCAGTACAACATGTGGCTGAGAATACAACTGCTAGAATCAGACCTAATTTCTCCTCTGTTACCTAACAGTTCTATTTAATTTAGTCCCCTCATTTGTCACATGGGATAATGGTTGGCCCCATATCATCCCCTACTATCTTGTTACTCAAAGTGTGGCTCAGACCAGCAGTAGCAGCAGCAGCAGCAGCACCTGGGAGTCTGTGAGGCCTGCAGAACATTTCAGACCCCACCCCAAACCCACTCAATCAGATTCTGCATTTTAATGAGATCTCCAGTGACTCATGTGCACGCTTCTACTAGGAACTGCTAAAATAAAAAAGAGACTGAAGTATTCCCATTAGGCCAAGGGACTCCAATTAGTAGGTCATAGACCAAATTTTCCTGGAGACCTGATTGATTTGTCCAATTTGTTTTTTAAAAACCAGACTGGCACATAAGTCTCCAGTTCACTGAGTCCCCATCATTCCCTACTGCAAAGCACCCAGAACATAACCATTCATGTCACTGCCAGGCCCCTTTAGGCATTGAGTTTGTACCCCACTCTGGAACAGGTCCTGTAATTATCTAACATTTGCATAGCTTAGCTTAGGTTTCTAAATATAAAGTAAGGCACTGAGGTTCAATGGATTGAGCACCGGCCTGCGAACCAAAAGGTTGCCAGTTCGATTCCTAGTCAGGGCACATGCTTGGGTTGCAGGCCAGGTCTCTAGTTGGGGGTGTGAGAGAGGCAACTGATTGATGTATCTCTCACACCTTCATGTTTCTTGCTCTTTCTTTCTCCCTCCCTTCCCCTCTCTCTAAAAAAAGTAAATAAATAAAATCTTTAAAGGCACTAAAAAACACATAGGCTTAGCAATCAGATAGATCTGGGTTCAAACCCTGATTGGGTGACCATACTAGCTGTATACCTTGGGCAAGTTACTTCCCTTCTCTGATTCTCAGTTTCCACATCTGTAGAATGAAAATCAAAATACAGACCTGCAACGCCATTGTATAGATTAAAAATAATATGTGTAAAGCACCAATGAAGAAGTAGGAGTTCACCAAATGGAAGTGATTAGTAGTGGAAGCAGCAGCCGTGGTTACACAAGTCCAGCGTGGACACGGGGTACTATTACAATTATCCTCATTGGACAAGAAACTGAGGCTGTGAACCTCTGAGGCTTTAAGAAACTTCCTCAAAGTTACGCAGTGGTGGAGTGGGGACTCAAAGTCATGTCCTCTAGCTCTAGATCTGCACTGTCCACTAGAATCTTCTGTGATAACAGACGAGTTCTGTATCTGTGTAGTCCAGTACGGTCGCCACTAGCCACACGTGGCTCCTTACTGAGCAAGCATCTCAGATGGGACTAGTCCAAATTGATATATGCTGCAAGTACAAAACACACACCTGATTCTGATGACTTAGTATAAGAAAAAAAGAATGTAAAAGATCTCATTGATTTTCATATTAATTGTATGTTGAAATGATAATATTTTAGAAATTTGGACTAAAATATAAAATTAAGGTTAATCTCATCTGCTTCTTTCCACTTTTTTTCAATGTGGCTACTAGAAAATTTCCAATTACATATATGACTGTCGCTGTGTTTCTATTGGACAGTGGCACTCTAGAGCTTCTCCAATAGAAAACCTGAGACAAAAAAATTCATATTTTGTAAAAACGCATTTGCAAACCCCACTCCCACCAGCATAACAACAGCCGAAGAACATACCCACCAGAAAGAGATTTCAGGGCCCTCCTCTGAGCTCCATGGCCCCTGAGGCCCAGGTGGGGGCGCCTTGCCCTGGTCTCACAGAGGTTAGCAGCACAGCTGGAACCATGCCCAAGGCTCCTCAGCCTGATGCAGCCACTTGTTCCGCCATTCAAGGATACCTAATGGGATTTGAAAATTGGTGCTTTTGCTTTGGACAATGGAACTCTGGGATACTAGAAGTTAGAGTCTGAGAGCCATGATCTTGAGAAAGCAGGATCCTCTGGGAGATTTCACTCATGGACACCACCTAGAGCCTACTCCAGTAGAAGCCCTCGTAAGCACTTCAGGGCTGTGTTACTTCGAGGGACGTCTCTTGTTGTAGATGAGGAAATCTGAGATGTCGTGCCACACATTGCTGTCCTCATACAAGTAAGTCATGGAGGACTGCAGCGAGGGCTGCAGTGTGGGCCGGTGGTACTCGAAGAGCCACAGCACCAGCCCCCACACTACTGCGGCGAACAGTGGGAATGGGTCCCACTTAGGTTCAGGAATGTAGCCCTTCTCCACTCCCAGGCGGCACAGGGCAAACAGGACACGTGACAACAGGTACATGTTGATCTGCAAGGAGGGAGTGACAGGGGATTATGGGTGTGCACTGCCACTGGGAACCCTCTGCCCACCCCCATGCATGGATCAGCTGGCCTTGCAAACAAAGTTGGTATGCAGGCCTTGGCCAGGTAGCTCAGTTGATCAGAGTATTGTACCATTACACCGAAGTTGCAGGTTCAGTCCCCAGTCAGGGCACATACAAGAATCAACCAATTTATGAAAGCATAAATAACTGGAGCAACAAAAATCAATGTTTCTCTCTCTCCCTTTCCTTTCTCTCTCTCTAAAAAAAAAAACAAAACAAATACAAAGTTGGTGTGCAAGATGATTTGAAGTGGTATCAGACATTTTAATATTATTATTTTATATCTTTAATTTATTATTTATTAACAATTAAACAAATAGATATTTACATGGTTCAAAACTAAAAAACAACTTGGCACCAAAAAGAAAACCATAAAGAAATTTGATAAACTGGATTTCATCAAATTTAAAAAAAAAATTGGTTGTGAAAGCCCATGTAAAAAGCCTGAAAAGAAAAGCTATAGACTAGGATAAAATATTTTTTAAAAAATATCCAGCCCTGGCTGGCTGGCATAGCTCAGTGGATTGAGTGCAGGCTGGGAACCAAAGTGTCACAGGTTCAATTCCCAGTCAGGGTACATGCCTGGGTTGCAGGCCATGACCCCCAGCAACCACAACCACACATTGATGTTTCTCTCTCTCTCTCTCTCCCCCCCATCTCCCTCCCTTCCCTCTCTAAAAATAAATAAATAAAATATTAAAAAAATATATCCAACAAAGACTAGTATCTGGGATATATTTTTTAAAAATTCAGCCCTGGCTGGTGTGGCTCAGTGACCCGAGTGCCGGCCTGCAAACTGGAAGGTTGCCTATTTGATTCCCAGTTGGGGCACGTGTCTGGGTGGCAGGTCAGGCAGTGCCCTGCTTGGGTTGTGCAATAGGCAACCGATCGATGTATCTCATACATTGACGTTTCCCTTTCTTTCTCCCTCTCTTCCCTTCTCTCTAAAACAATAAATAAATAAAATCTTCAAAAAAAAAACAACTCAAAACTCAACAGTAAAAATAAAATCCAATTAGAAAATGGGCAAAAGACATGAATAGATATACCACTGAAGAGGTTATACAGACGGAAAACAAGCTCATGTAAAGCTGTTCAATGTCATCAGCCATCAGGGAAATGCAAATTTAAGACCACAATGAGATGGTACTATACACGTATCAAAATGGCTAAAATTTAAAAAATGTGATAAACCAAATACTGGCTTGGATGTGAAGGAACTAGATCACTTAATGTCTCTTCCTGATGGGAATGTAAAATAGTACAGTCACTGCAGAAAATAGTTTGCCAGTTTCTTATAAAACTAAACATTCACATACCATCTGACCCAGCAATTGCACTCTTGGCATTTATCCCAGAGAAATGAAAACTAATGCTCACTCAAAAACCTGTACAAGAATGTTCTTTGCAGCTGTATTCTTAGTAGCCAAAAGCTGGAAAAAACTCAGATGTCCTTTCAGGGGTGAATGTTTAAATGGGCTGTGGTACATCCATGCAATGGAATGCCACCCAGCAATAAAAAGAAATGAACTATTGACAGACACAGCAACTGGGATGGATCTGCAGTGAATTATGGTGAGTGAAAAAAGCCAGTCTCCAAAGGTTACAACTGTCATGACTCCACTTATATAACATTGTTGGAATGACAAAATTTTAGAAACGGAGGTCAGAAGAGTTGTCGCCAGAGGTCAAGCAAAGGAAGCGAGGGGGAAGGAGATGGTGTGACTAGGATTCCCAGCCTTTGGAAGTGAAATTTCTAACAAATATAAAACTGAGGAAATTTTCTCAAAATACAAAATGCTCATATCCACTGACTCCACAATTCCACATCTAGGAACTTTCAGACAGATGGACACCCAAGAAGTGGATGTGCAAGAAGACATCCAAACAAAGACGCAGACTGCATGTGTAACAGCAAGAGACTACAGACCTCCTGAATGTCCATCAGGAGGAGACTGGTAAGATCAGGCCGATCCGCCCAGCCAGTAGTGTAAAAATACACCTAAGCAATGAAGAGATAGCCAACCTATCAGATGCAGAGTTCAAAACACTGGTAATCAGGATGCTCAGATAAATGGTTGAGTATGGTCACAAAATAGAGGAAAAAGTGAAGGCTATGCAAAGTGAAATAAAGAAAAACAGACAGGGAACCAACAGCGAAGGCAAGGAAACTAGGACTCGAATCAATGATTTGAAGCAGAAGATAAGCATTCTAACCGGAACAGAATGAAGAAACAAGAATTCAAGAAAATGAGGAGAGGCTGAACATTCTTTAAACAGAACAACTTTAAACATTCCAACATCAGAATTACAGGGATGTCAGAAAGAAAAGAGGAAGAGCAAGAAATTTAAAACTTATTTGAAACATAATGAAGGAGAACTTCCCCAATCTGGCAAAGGAAATAGACTTCCAGGAAGTCCAGAGAGTCCCAAACAAGTTGGACCCAAGGAAGCACACAGCAAGATACATCATCATTAAGTTACCCAACATTAAAGATGAAGAGAGAATCTTAAAAGCAGCAAGAGAAAAGGAGACAGTTACCTACAAAGAAGTTCCCATAAGACTATCAGCTGATTTCTCAAAAGGAACCTTGCAGGCAAGAAGGGGCTGGAAAGAAGTATTCAAAGTCATGAAAGGCAAGGACCTACATCCAAGATTGCTCTATCCAGCAAAGCTATCATTTAGAATGGAAGGGCAGATAAAGTGCTTCTCAGATAAGGTCAAGTTAAAGGAGTTCATCATCACCAAGCCCTTATTGTATGAAATGTTAAAGAGACTCACCTAAGAAAGAGAAGATGATCAAAATTATGAATAGTAAAATGACAACAAACTCATAACTATCAACAACTGAACCTAAGAAAACAAAAACAAAAACAAAAATGAACTAAGCAAACAACTAGAACAAGAACAGATTCACAGAAATAGAGATCACATGGAGGGTTATTGGGGGGAGGGAGAAGAATGGGAGAAAAGGTACAGGGAATAAGAAGCATAAATGGTAGGTACAAAATAGACAGGAGGAGGTTAAGAATAGTGTGGGAAATGGAGAAGCCAAAGAGCTTTTATGTATGATCCATGGACATGAACTAAGGTGGGGGAATGGTGGTGAGAGGAAGGAACAGGGTAGAGGGGAATAAAGGGGAGGTGAAAATGGGACAATTGTAATAGCATAATTGATATATTTTCTAAAAAAACAGAATTTTAACCCAGAAAAGGGACATGCAAGTCACAGAATTAAAGGCAATTCTTTAATAAATTTTGTTTTATGAAAATCATACTCCAGGGTAATTTTTTTTTTTTCATTCCGCAGGAAAGTGGTTTTCTTTTTTTTTTTTAACTTTTCTTTTTCTTTTTCTTTTTCTTTTTTTAAATTTTATTCTATGTCCCCCCATTCGCAATACAGACCAGGCAAAGGGCCTGGGCTGAGGTGTATATGGGGTGGGTTTACTCTGCCTCCTCTTTCTGTACAGGCAGTGTAAGAACACAGCCTGTGGTAAGCACTGGGAGGCCTTAAATTTTTTTTTTAATTTTTCTTTATTAATTTTTAGAGAGAGGTTAAGGGAGAGAGAAAGAGGGAGAGAAATATCTACCAGTTGCCTCTCGCACTCCCCCAACTGGGGGCTTGGTCAGCAACCTAGGCACGTGCCCTGACGAGGGATTGATCCAATGACCTTTGGGTTCACAGGCCAGAATTCAATCCACTGAGCCACACCAGGCAATGCCAAAGTGGTTTGCTTAAAAAAAAATCTTTGCCCCAGAGAGCAGTACACAATGGTGTTGGGGAACCTTAAAATTCAACAAGCTGCTTGATTTACACATGAGGAAACTGAGGGGGAAGTGACCTTCCCAAGGTCACAGAGGGACTGGTGAATCATAGCTCCTTAGACTTGGAATGGAGCCAAGAGCTCATCTTCTTTGACCCCTCATACCTGACTCATACCCAACTCATACCTGAACCACAACCCACCCACCCCCAGCCACCCTCCCCGCCACGTCCCTGGGGAGGATCTTTACCTGGCTGTTGATATTACTGTTATCTCCAAACACCAGCAAGCCCCCAAAGAAGGCGGCCAGGAATGAGTGCACCTGGTAGGTCTTGCCCTGCACACGGGACTGCAGGGCGCAGAGCCCCTTGTAGGCGAACACGAAGTGGGCCAGTTTAGAAGAGTGGGTGTACGTGGCCTGCAGGATGGCCCAGAGCTTCTCTCGGAGGCTGCACAAACACAGGGAGGCCCCATGAGTGCAGATCCAGCCATTCAGAGGGCATCTACCTACTGCGCATGCAAAACTAAGCCAGGCAAGTTGCTCTGGGCTGATGCTCATTCAACCCAGGGCCTCTAACCTCCCTGTCCCGGGGGCTGCTGCCTCACTTGATTCAGGCCTTTACTCCATACCACTTCCTCAGAGAGGCTTTCCGTGATCACCCTGCATAAAAGAATGCCCATCACATCTGTCCCCTTCACACTAGTTTTCTTTGCCTTCATGGGTCTTATCACCACCTGACATTTTTATGCTAAACAAGCAAATGTTTGCTTGTATATTATCTCCCCCACTCCTGCTCCATCCTAGTGGAAGGTACCAGAAAGTAGTGTCTACAACTGACTTGTTCACCCTTAGGGCCCAGAACAGGGCCTGACACACAGTAGGTGCTCAATAAACTTTTTTTTGGAGCAAACCTGAAGAAATGAATGAATGAGGGAGTTAGTGTCTACTTTGTGCTATATCTGGGGCTACAATTCTGGGGGTGGGGGGGAGATCTGCTTGCTGCCCTCATGAGGTTTATGATCTAAAGGGAGAGGGAAATGTAAATAATCACAAAGCAGGGGTCAAACTGTGACCATGACAAGAGAGGATCCTGGGATCTGAAGGATGAGGACTCGATGGGGTCAAGAGGGAACAGGAACTGCTTCCCAGGCAGAGGGATCAGCAAAGGCCCTGAGGAGAAACAAAGAGTGGGGAGCAAAGGAACTGAAGAAACCTGAGCAGAGGATGTGTGGGCAAAAGATGAAGGGGATGTCGGGTGGGAGGGGGGCCCTGCTAACTTCCATCTTTGTCCTGAGAGAAGCAAACATTTAACTAGGGGAGGGAGTTGATTGATTCTTTAAAACCAAATCACTAGGCATTGTTTCTCTCTCACATCAATGTTCTTGTTCTCTCTCTCTCTCCCCACCCCCCTCTTCCTGTCTCTCTAAAAGCAATTTTAAAAAAAAAGTCCTCGGGTGAGGATAAAAAATAAATTAAAAGAACAGTAAACCCAAGTGCCCTCGAAGCTAGATGAGGACCTTGGAGAGGGTCTATTAGGACCTGTGGAAATCTGCCAGGTGCGTGGGCATGGCCAGGAATCAGCTGGTTCTCACCCCATAGGAACACGGGAGTGTTGCCAGTTCTAAGACAAATTAGATCTCCCGGTTTTTAAGTGTTAACACTAATCCTGCCTTTAAATTGTTTCTAGAATCTGACTACTACTCCTAAACCCCCACTGCCACCACGAAAGTCTAAGTCACCAGTGTTGCTCACCTCGATTATTGCCACAGCCTCCTATTTTACACCTACTACTACCCTTGGCACCCACCCCACCTGTAATAATCTGGCAGCAAACTCTTCACTTTCATACTGTCAAAAGATAAATCAAATAGAAGCATATCCCTGCAAAAACTCTTACAATTTCCTTTTTTGCTTAAAAGAAAAAAGCCCAAATCCTCTCTAAAGTAGGGCAGGATGGGCCCAGCTTACCCCATGACCTTCCTCTTTTTTCTCTCCCCTTCAATCCCTCTGCTCCAGCCTCCTCAAACTCACCAGGCATGATCCCACCTCAGGGCTTAAAGATTTTATTTATTTCTTTTTAGAGAGAAGGGAAGGGAGGGGGAAAGAGAGGGAGAGAAATGTCAATGTGTGGTTGACTCTCATGTGGCCCCCACTGGGGACCTGGCCCACAACCCAGGCATGTGCCCTGACTGTGAATTGAACCAAGGACCCTTTGGTTCACAGCCCGAGCTCAATCCACTGAGTTACACCAGTCAGAGCCCACCTCAGGGCCTTTGCACTGGCTATTCCCTTGGGCTGAAACACTCTTTCCCCTAATACCCACTTGGCCAACTCTTTCATCTCCTTAAAGTGTTTACTAGAATGTCACTTTCTCACTGAGGCCTTCCTTATTTAATTCTGCAGCCCGCTCCTCCTCCAGCACTCCTGATCCCCTTTCCCTTCCCTTGCTCTAATTTTTCTTTCCCACAGTCTGCATCACCTTTTAACATATACTCTCCTTATTTATTATATTTTTTTCGTCTGCCACCCCCTGCTAGCATACAAGCTCCACGAGGGCAGTGATTACTGTCTGCTTTGTTCACTGCTGTATCCTGGCACCTAAAACAGTGTCTGGCCCACAGTATATGCTCAATAAATATCTACTGAATGAATGACTGAGCTCCATCTTTTTAAGAAAACAATTCAGAGGACAAAAACCAAAACAAACAAAAATAAATTTACAAAGTGAAATTACAAAAAGAGAAAATCTTGAAGCTGGATTTGGCCAGAAGGTTTCCATGTATGAGTCTTACAAGCTTGAGGTGAGACTACGTTAAAAACTGATCACAAGGTGGTTTCTGAGAAGTGCCCTTAGGGAAGACATGACAGACCAGAGGAGGGCCAAGAAGTGTGAGCAAAGAAGGGAGGTCATAGGTGGTTTTCTGAGAATGTGATCCTCAGAGAACTGGAATGGTTTGCTAAAAAGGAAATAAAGTTGGGGTAGAAAAGGAAAAGGTAGTCCTGGCACGGGGTTCTGCAGGAGAAAATGTGTGGAGGTAGAAACACACATGGCATGTACATGGAATGACAGCAAGTTCTGTGCACCAAAGGCACCCCAGGGTGAACATGGGGGAACAGGGTAGGGATGCAGCTGAGGCTAAACTGCAGGGGGCCTTAAAGGCCACACCTGGAAACTGGGCTTCTCTGGAGGGGTTGGGAGCCAGGGGAGTTTTCCGGCAGGGGTAATAGAGTCAGAGCTGTACTTTAGGAGGTGTCCGTGGGGACAGGCTAGACCCAGCTAGGAAGCTACTGCAACAGCCCTGGCACTGAGGGCTGACTACATTCTCTCCCAGCCTGAGGGGTGTGCAGAGGGGGTGGGTACCTGCCACTCCGGAAGAGAAAGGTCATGACCAATGCATGAGGGGCCCGGATTTTGGCTCCATAGCTGTAGAAGCAAAAAGAAAACAGTTACTATAGCATTACTGTATCAGTTTTTTTCTGGACTATCTCTTTGACCCTTTATCCCCACCCCATCCCAAATTCTAACATCATTTTAGGACAGGAAATAATGCTAGCTTTTGAGTTAGATCTAGGTTCAAAGTGGGTCGTAGAAAGGAAACAGTATTTGTTGTCAAAGTCCTGCCACATTTTGCTGTATAAACTTGGAAAAAATCGTTTAACCTCTCTGGCCTGCTCTTTTCCCATCAGTAAAAGGTATTTTCCATTTCAGAGTTGCCTCTGGCAGGTAGGGACATAGCACGTGTAAAAGTTCCTAGTTGAACCAATGTTAATGTCTCTTTCTTTCTTGTTCTTTTTTACTGGACTCCCTTCTCCCCACATTGAGTTCTCCAGCTGCCAGGTTCTGATCTAACTGGGTTACCAGGTCTAAAAATCCATGGCAGCCTCCTTGAAACAACGGTCACAAGCCATATATTGTTGTCATATGAGTATCTGTGAATGTTCACCGTAGGTTTGTTTGAAATAGCAAAAGACTGGAAGCAAACCAGTCTCTCCACAGGGAGCGGGTTATTGGGTAAATAACTAATGGTCCCTTCCTACAGTGGAATATTAAGCAGCAGTAAAAGAGTGAGGTGGCTTTATGTGCGCTCCAGGGTTCACTAGAGCAAGGTATGTAAAACTGTGTAAAAACGAGCCCTGGCTGGCATAGCTCAGTGGATCGAGCATGGGCTGTGAACCAAAGTGTCGGAGGTTTGATTCCCAGCCAGGGTACATTCTTGGGTTGCAGGCCATAACCACCAGCAACCGCACATTGATGTTTCTTTCTCTCTTTCTCTCTCCCTTCCCTCCCTAAAAATAAAAATAAATAAATAAATAAAATCTTTAAAAGAAAACTGTGTAAAAACAAGGAAATTCTTCTATAAATCTGTAAGTATTTCGAAATAAAACTTGCTTAAAAGATGTGGGAGGGGCCCTGGCTGGTGTGGTTCAGTGAACAAAGAAGCCCTCAGCCTCCAGGTGACCAGAACTAAAAGGACCTTTCCTTATACCCCGGACACAAGCAGAACAGTGCCCCCAACTCCCCACACCTGCCAGGACCCCTTCCCAAAGTCTTCAAACTCAGGGGGAACTGGTTACTATTGTTTACAGGATTACTCTGTATCCTGAAAAAAGGGATACTCTGGATTTAAAAAGACTTAAAGGATATTGTAGAATTGTACACCTGAAACCTATATAATTTTACCAACCAATGTTACTCCAATAAATTCAATTAAAAAAATAAAGGACTTAAAGGACATGATGACAGATGCAATGTAATGACCTGGAGGATCCTGGTCTAGACAAACTAGCTGCAGAGAACATTTGGGGGACAACTGGGACAATTTGACTATTGACTGGACAGTAGTCAACATTACAGGATTAATATTAATTCATTAAATGTAATCACGGTAATTTAGCCATATAAGAAAATGTTTTTATTTGTAGAGCTGTCCATTGAAATATTCAGGAGTGGACCATCAAAATGAGTTAAACTGTACAAAGTTCACATGTCTTAGTCACGCAGGTGCCTCCCTAAATAGAGGGCATATTCTTTTCCACCTCCAGGTTTTTATTCAAACCATTCCTTCCACCTGGGATGCCCTCCTCCCTCTGGCAAACTCCAACTCAGCCTTCAAAATATCACCATCAGCTCTTCTGTACAGCACTCCTGATCACCTGGTACTGCCACGACAGTTTAGTGGTCAGTCTGCCTCAGGACTCCAGATCCTTACACATGGGCACGGTGTCTTACACATGGGCACTGTGTCTTAGCACTAAGCAGTAATGGGGTCACTGCTTAGAGAACCCCCGTATAGGTGAGTTTGTTTCCACTTTACAGAGGAGGAACCTGAGGCCAGCAGAGATGAAGGGCACCAAGCACGGAAATGAAGGAACTGGGATTTGAGCCTAAGGGCTTGACCTTAGCAAGTACCTGCCGGGCTGAGGAGGTTCCTGAGATCATGGAAAGAGTTGGGTGGGAACAGGTGTACAAAGCCAGCATTGGGCATAGCCCGCGGGCACCAGGACCTGTGTGATTCCTGTTCCATCCTGCTTTGTCCTGTGAATAGCTTGGCAAAGGGAAACAGATGTTATCTCAGGGACTATTCTACCCTAGTTATACCAAGGCATGGCGGAGTATCGTCTGGCCAGACTCAGCAGGAATCAACTTCTGCCTGTAACTCTGGGTGCCCATGAAAGCCAAGAGCTTAGTGTTGAGGTCAGGCATCCCTGGGTTTGAATCCTGGCTCAGAACCTGACCAAGTAACATAATCATGAGCAAGGAGTTCACCTTTCTGAGCCACAGTCTTCTCATCTGGAAAATGGGAATAATGGCAATTCTTACCTTGCACACTTCTTCATTCATTCAACAAATATTTGAAAGCCTACTGTGTACAAGTTACTAGGAATATACCAAAGAACAAAGCAAATAAAAATTTCTATCCCCATGAAGCTCACTTTCTAGTGAGAGACAGAATATAAAAACAGGATAAATGAAGAGGGTGCGGGAGGCGGAGGAGGGTAAGGGAGGATAAAATGGTGATGAATGGAGACTTGACTTGGCACAGTGAACACACAGTACAGTGTACAGATGATGTTTTGTGGAATTGTGCACCTAAAACCTATACAATTTTATTAACCAGTGTCACCCCCATACATTAAAAAAAAGCAGGATACATGAGTGAACTACTTAGTGTCAGATGGTGACAAGTACTATGGAGAAAAATTAAGTAGGGAAGAAGGTGGGGAGCTCAGGGATGGCCTCATTGAGAGGTGACACAGAGGCCTGAAAAAGATGAGAAAAGTGACCCAAGCAGAATCCATGCGAATATAACAATAACGGCAGCCAACAGTCATACATATATATCAGGCACTGTGCTAGGCATCACGCACTTACTGACTTAATTCTCTGACAGTGTATTGTTACCACTCTCAATATAGAAACTGAGACTTAGAGGGGCTAAATGACTTGCAAGGTCACACAGGCAGGTGGCACCAGGATTCAAACTGAAGTAGTCCCCTGTCCCTTATCATCATCCAAGCTGCCACTAGTATGCCAATTACAGGAGGGCAGAGATCTTTGTTCGGTTTGTTTTCTGTTGCATCCCCAGTTCTGGCACAGTAGGCTCTCAATATACAATAGCTGTTATGCATGAGGTTTAAAGGAGGCCGAGTACCCCTCCAGGTACCAGGCTGGAGAAATGACCAAAGGAGGGATACAGAGACTGGCATGAGAGGTGGTCAAGGAAAGAGGGCCAGATTGCAGAGTACGAAGGTCTCAGAAAAATCGTAGTGAATGCCGCGGCCCAGAAGGCGCTAGAGACCCAAAATCCAGCGCCCACTGCACAGAGGGTGGACGCCGAGACCTAGAGACCATCGGCTGCTCAAGGGCACACCGCGCAGCTGCGCCAGGCCGGGAATACACGCCCCTGACCCCAGCTAGGCCCCTCCCTCAACCCGGACCCTATCACCCTACTCACACAGCCCCGTTCCGGAAGCCTTTAAGCACCGCCAACGCCGCGTGGTAGCGGCGCTTGCGCAGCAGAGTGTTGACGGCCAGGAGTAGACCCTGCAGTTGCGACGGAGCTGCCATAGCAAGGGTATAGCGCGGGGGCGGAATACTGAAACCGAGACCGACGCGCCTTGACAGTCCCAGTTCCGGCTGCACTGTCCTCAGCTTCCGACACTCCGAGCCCCGCCACCGCATCTTTACGATTATAGGCTTTTTATCCTGTCACTCTTACATGAGGAGCCAACCAAAGGGCACACTTACCTCAAGGGACTGCGACGCACGCACGCTCTCCTGAATAGAGTTCTGATTGGAAGAGGAGACCTTGTAACCAATTACAGTGGGCTCTGCCCAATTCTACCTAAGGAAAGTCAGAATCACACACCCGGATCTGTCCAATCCGGAAGCATGTTTTCGTTGTGTTTGGAACGAAACACAACGAAATTTAGGGTCACCTAAACATCCCAAGTTTCCCGAAAGAGGGGCCGCCCTTCTTAGAGCTGGGATGGTGACCCTGGAAGGAGATAGCTTTACCCAGAACAGTTTTGGTTGGGTAAACAGTGATCATAGCGATCTCCTCTGAGCATAGATCACTTGACACCATCAATGTTTTCAATTTATCCTTAAAATATCCAAACTCCTTCCCATGGCCTACAAGACAAGACTCTATAATCTGGCCCCTGCTTCCCCATCGAAACTCTTGGCGGGCCACTTGTCCCCTCATTCATTCCTCTCTAGCCAAACTGGCCTCCTTGCTGTTCCTTGAGCATTCCAAGGAAGTTCCAGTCTCAGTGCCTTGCAGTTGCTATTTCCCTGGATAATATGCATAACTCCCAGTTCTTTCCATGGCTGGCTCTTTCTCAGCCGTCAAGTTTCAGGTCAAATCCCACCTCCTCAAAGAGGCCTTCCTAAATATTCCATTTAAGTAGCACTTGGTTAGAGCGGACGCAACCTGCAAACCTAAAGGTCGTGGATTCAATTTCCGATCAGGGAACATGCCTGGGTTTAAGGTTCGGTCCCTGGTCGGGATGCCTATGGAAGGCAACTCATCGATGTTTCTCTCTCTGGCTTATTGTACTCTTTTATTTTCTTCATAGAACTTTAACTCTTTGAAATTATTTGTCACATGTTCATTATCCATTGCCCCTAACAGAATGTAAATTCCATGAGGACAGAAACCTTTTCTGTTTTGTTTTCTACTCTAACCTTGGCAATTAGCACATGGTAGGTGCCCAGTACATGTTTGTCAAAGTAATATAGTTTGGGTTGTCATCTCCAAGAGTATTAATAAGTGACATCTATGTATGATGGCATTCTGTAGAGTTGTCATTGGATAACAGCTAGGCATTGAGTAGTAGTATTTGAACCATGTGATATTGTCACTGGAAGAATGAGTGTTCTGAGGTCCTCGCTTCTTGTCCTCTTGACAGAAGGAATTCAGACGCCAGACACAGATAGCAAAGCAGGCACCAGTTTATTAGCAATGGGAAAATACACTTGGAAGATTTTCAAGCAGTTGACTCATACCCAACTGAATGCCCTGCTGGGCTGCACAAGCTTAGGGTTTTTAGGCTTGCTCGAACTTTCCACCAGCCTCCTGGCTCCTCCTCTCCCGCTGGTTTATTCCTGCCAAACACATGGGCACATCTCTGCCAACAGGGGGTGGTCGTATGCCTGTGCTGTTCAGGTTCTGCAGCCATGTACATGTTCTTTTTTATCATTTTTGCCCTTTACGTATAGTGTCCCCAGTAGAAGGTCCTATACTAGTTATTACCTTAGTTAGTCCATCTGTGCATGCTTCTCACGGATGTGTAATTGCCCTAGATCGTGTCAGGAACTTGAAAATCATGGCCAACCCTCTGGTTATTAGCTAATGGTTCCCCATTTACCCCCTCACCCAGCTTATGCCTAGCTAGCTACCTAGCCTAACAGTATTTATCTCTGATACTATTGCCCAGATCAGTGTCATGTGATGATGTCAGAGGTCAGTAATGGTGAAATTATGCTGAGCTCATTTTATTGCTAAATGGATTTTCCCCCCTCTTTCTTTTGTCTCTTTTCTTTCCAATAATGGTAGACTGGTTAATTCAGGTAATCTTTCCTCTGAAAATAGTGGCATGTTAAATAAAATATAAAAATATCCTCTGAGCCCTGGCTGGCGTAGCTCAGTGGATTGAGCGCGGGCTGGGAACCAAAGTGTCCCAGGTTCGATTCCCAGCCAGGATACATTCCTGGGTTGCAGGCCATAACCCCCAGCAACCGCACATTGATGTCTCTCTCTCTCTCTCTCCCCCCTCTCTTCCCTCCCTAAAAATAAATAAATAAAATCTTAAAAAAAAAATATCCTCTGAAAAACACTGAAATGCTTAAAAGCCTGGGGAATGCCCAGGCCAATTATTGGTTGAAAGCTAATAACCAATTAACAGGAAGATTGGATTATTGGAGGTCCAACACTACTTATGACATAAGGGCATTTGCCAACATCAAACCTGCGGGTTTCAGTTTTTTAACTATATAGGGCAAGAGAGACGGAACTGATAGTCCAGGGCCTGTGTGGGCCAAGGTGGGGAGCCTTACAGAAAAACCTCTTCACATTAAGCTGAGACACCAAAGTGTTTCAACCTCAAGTTTCATGTGATATGAACCCATTGTATACCTCACACTACTACCCAAGTAAGTTCAGAAAAGGTTGCCTTGGTGCTGAGAAGAACAGTTGAAGGAAAAGGAAAGGGAATTTTTTTAAAGCTCTTCCTTGGGGAAGTTGTAACCATTATATGTCATTTCACACCCTAGGGAGTAGAGCCTGGTAGCCCAAGAAATCTCAAGCCATGAACTGGGGAACCTGCTATGAGGTGATAAGTGACTGGAAGTGGCCCCAAACCTTTGGCAAAAGCAAACACAAAATCTCTCTGAAGAAGGGCACATCTATCTTTGACTTAAGGGAACCACCACAAATAATTTTTCAAGGTGATGATCATCAGCAGACAGAGAAAACCAGGCATACAAGACTTCATAAAGAAGAAAAACCAAATACAAGAGATGGGAAGAACGGATCGATACAGACCTCAGGTATTATAACTCACAGACACAGATTTTTAAAAATTGTACCCACAACATTTAAAGCTAGAAAATAGCTACAGAGAACAAAAAATAATTTAAAAACATGGAAATTTTGAGAAGGAACCAAACAGAACTTCTAGAAATATCACCTAATAGTCTCATGAAAAATCAGTCACCAAGCCCCTGACACATGGCCCAGTATCAGGAGAGGGTGTTTGGAAACTCTTTGGATCAGCAAGTTCTTCCTGGATGCTATCTTTTGCCAAACGCTTCTCATGGTGATAAATGTTTCTTCCCTCGAGGAGCCGGGGGAAAAGAGTGGCCACATGGGAACACTTATTCCTTAAAGGCCCTTTGTAATTATACCTAACTCTGAGTTCCTCAGGGCAAGGCCTTTTTATTCACCTTATCCAAGTAATCAAATTTATTTATTTAACAAGCACTTTCAGAGTACTTGCCGTGTTCCAGGAACTGTTTGCCAAGTGCTTTGTTTCATTCTCACAGCAGCCCTATGAGGTAGGAACTATAGTCATGCCCACTTAACACACTGAGATGCAGAGAGGCAAAGTAACTTGCCCAAGATGATACAGCTAATAAGTCATGAAGCCAGGACTGGAACCCAGATCTCCTGGCTCCAGAGTCTTTTATCTTTGTCACTGTCTTGTTTTGCTAGGGCTTCCATAACAAAGTACCATGAAATGGGTGGCTTAGGCAACAAACATTTATTTTCTCACAATAAAGGCTCGAAGCCCAAGATCAGGGTGTTTGGAGGTTTAGTTCCTTGTGAGGTCTCTCTCTTCACTATCAGCTGGTTAGCTTCTCACCATGTCCACAAATGGTCGCCCTTCAGTCTATGCTGTCAAATCTTCTAAGGATACCAGTCAGATTAGGGTCCACCTATATGACCTCATTTAATATTAATTACCTTTTTAAAGGCCCTATCACCCCATATTGTCATATTCTGAGGTACTAGGGTATCAACACATAGAATGTCAACATATGAATTCTGGGGACATTATTCAGCCTGTAACAACCATCATTACTTATTCCAAGAGTCTCAAAGTTATGATTGGATTTGGTTCAGTGTCAACCAGCTGGCCCTGAGGGAATGGGACATAGCACAGAGAGACTTTAGTGGAGTAAGAGATGGAGGTAAGGAGCTGAAAGTTTGAAACAGGGGAAACCTGACTGGGGAAACTACTGGAGAACCTACTGGAGAACCTCCCTAAAAGCTCATTCAGTTGTTCCATTAGTCAGGTAGTCAGTCAACAAACATTTCCTAGGTTACCTCTGTGCCAGGATGTCAGTTCCAACCAGAATGGATGAAGCACCTCTCCTGCTCAGAGGGCTCTCTATTGAGTGGATAGAGAAAAGGCAAACTTCCAAGGGCTAAAGATTAGCACATGACAGGGGAAGTACCAAGTGCTGTGAGAAACTAGAATAGGGAGGGAGGGTTGGGATCTCATCCAGGGAACTCAGGGAAAGCTTCTTAGAGGAGATAAGAAGTCAAGTTTCTATTGTTCCAACAAGGGTGGAAGATGGGCATTTTTACAAAAGATTTTATTTATTATTTATTTTTAGAGAGAGGGAAAGTGGGGGAGAGAGGGAGAGAAACACTGATATGCAAGAGAAATATCAATTGGTTCCCTCTTACACGCCTCTAACCGGGGACCTGGCCTGCAACAGAGGCATGTGCCCTGACCAGGAAACTGGCACTCCATCCACTGAGCTACGCCAGCCAGGGCATCAATATAACTATTCTTTTTAAAAAATCATTGAAGTAATGTATTAGTACATTCATATTCATTTAATTAATTTAAAAAATATTCAACCCTGGTTGGTTTCTCCCTCCCTTCCTTTCTGTCTAAAAATAAATAAAATAAAATATTTAAAAAATATTCAGTACCTATTGTGTGCTATACACTATTCTATATGTTGAGGACACAACCAAGAGCAAAAACATAAAAATCTTTGCCTTCATGGAGTCATAGTTCAGCAGGTGAGATGGTCTGTAAACAAGAAAAAAAAAAAAAGAGATGTTCTATGACTTTAAATATTTATTTTTTTGGGGGGGGAGGAAAGAGCCTCCTTTAGACAGGGTGGTTAGGGATGGCCTCTCTGAGGAGGTGGATGGAGAAAAGGGAACAAGAAAGGCAGAGCTTATTAGCTGTATCATCTTGGGCAAGTTCAAAGGCCCTATGTTAAAAATGAAAGGACTCCAGGTCCTGTAAAAAGAGGTATGGGTACAGGGGGATGAAGAAGGAGAGATAAGTAGGGCCACTGAGAGGCACTGGACTATACAAGATTCTACCAATATAAACCCTGGAAGCTTCCCATGTATTTTTATATATCGCAGCGTGGGCTGCGAACCAAGATGTCGCAGGTTCGATTCCCAGTCAGGGCACATGCCTGGGTTGCAGGCCATGGCCCCCAGCAACCGCACAGTGATGTTTTTCTCTCTCTCTCTCTTTCTCCCTCCCTTCCCTCTCTAAAAATAAGTAAATAAAATCTTAAAAAAAAGGAATAGTTATATTGAGAAACTCTTGCAGGGGAGAGATGATGAGGGTGTAAGGCCATTGAATCAATGCGGATGTTAAAGGAAAGACAGGGAGGAGGGAACACTGGCCTTACTCCTGCCAGAGAGGCAATGGGAAGGGTGGTTTAGGACTTGAGGTGGGACCTAAGTTTCCAAGGTTCCCAGAAAAGAGGGTGGGGTATGGAGTCTGGGAGAAGGGTGGGTTCTCTGTGGGGGACATTTGCTCAGAGCTCATTGTGCGAAGTGGAGACTGGAAGGGGAAGGAGGTAGCAGGGGTGGGGTACAGTTGTGTAGTGTTCAGGGCAAGATGGGGAGTTTCCTGGTAGAAATCAACTTTGAGGCATGAGTAAGCAGAGGGTCTGTAAGGCAGCTTGCCATGAACAGCGGCTGGTAGTGCTGCAGAAAGGCAGAGGAGCTTTGAACAAGTTTTGTTTTTGTTTTTGTTTTTAACTTTTTGGAGTTTATATATTTATTTAGTGAGTATGAGAATATAAAAATTGTGATTTTTATTGTTGCTTTGGACGAGGCTAAAATATAATGAAAACATCTAGAGTCCAATCTGATATCCCAGTCGTAGGACAATTTGGCTCATGGGGGAAATCGTTATTGATGGCAGGGCCCTCGTTCCTTCTCGCCCTACCCCCACGCACTCCCCAACACCTTCTTGTCGTCCAAGTGTACATCTTTGAAACTACTATCACACCTTGTAATTAAAGATTTAATGTTTGTGTGCTCCTGCCACCCCGAACTCCATGGGGAAGCACCAGTATATTCCCGGACCTATTGCAAGATTTGGTGTATAGTGAGCACTCGAGACGGGCTGATGAAGCACAGACAAAGACGAGAGATGGGTGTGTTTGACCAGGGTCTGAAGGAGGTGCGGGAGGATCCCTGTGAGCTCTGAGTGGTCCTTCTATGAGGGGGCGCAGAAGGGTGCTGAAGCGGATATTGGGGGTTTATGAGACAGAAATGGGGTCCCCGAGAAGCAGGATTGGAGGTCTGTGTAAGAGAAAATGAAGATCCCCAAAAAGTGTAAATAAAGGGTTAAGCCATTGTTGACTCCCAGAGCTGATGAGGGATTAAGACCAGGCTGAGACGGGAGTCCCCGCCGGCCCCCAGCAGGCAGAGCTGGGGCTCACTGTGGGAGGAGGGAGGGAGACGTCTAAGACAAGGATGGAACTCCGTGTCGCACAGTTGGGGCAGGGGTCCTGTGTTAATTGTAGGCCTTTGTGACAGAATTGGGGTGAGGTGGCAAGAGGGGTTGCAAAAGTGGGGGAGTGTATGGGCAGTGGGAATAAGGTCCACGCTGCGGAGTTGAGGGGTCTCACGCGCCTTGAGTGTGTCTGTGTGTGAGAGAGAGAGAGGGAGGGAGACAGATATGGCGAGTCAGGTCCGCTGTGGTGGCGATGGGTCGGGGTGCAAAGTTGCAGGATTCAAATGAGGCGGGGATAAGGGTCCACGCGCGCTGGTGACTGGATCCCCGAGGCGGAGCTGGGGGAACCCGGGGATGTGGGGGGTCCCCACAGGCTACTGCCGGGTTTCCACGACTGAGGGCTCAGCGTCGGCTCCCGGGCGCCCCCTGGCGGCTCCGGCCTCGCCGCCGCCGCCGCCGCCGCCGCCGCGGCTCCCACAATGCTCGCGTAGCCCGGCTTCAGCTCCCGTGGTGGCGGCGGCGGCGGCTCCAAGATGGCGCAGACGATCTTCGAGGCCCTGGAGGGTGAGAGACGGCGGTGCCGGGGGAAGCGGCTGTTCCGCGTTGCGCCCCCTCCCGCCGCGCCCTCGCAGCGCTGGGCTCAGGGCGCGCGGCGGCCGCGGGGCGTAGGGCGTCGGGGCCGGAACAGCCGGGGGAGGGGCGCGTGCGGGAACAGCCGCGGGAACCGAGGCCTGTCGGTGGGGTGGGGGCCACAACACCGAACGGCAGCGGAGAGGAGGCTCAGTGGTGGGGCGAGCCTCGGGACCGGAACAGCAGGGGAGAGAAAGCCCTGGGAGGGAGCACCGGGACCGGAACAGCCGGGGAGGGTTGGCCGGCGGGGAGGGGGCCTCGGACCGGAACAGCACCAGCTGCAGGCGGGCGCGGGAGGGCTCTTCTGGAGGGAACAGCCGGGGAGGGTGGGGCCGGCCCTGGAGCCGCGCGGAGAGCGGAGACCCCTGTTGTTGACCGTGGTGTTGGAGCTTCAGAGCGGCGGAGGGCTTTGGGGGGCGGCGACGCCAAGCCAGGCATTTTGACCACGAACTTGTATTGAGCGCCGATTTTGTGCCTCGTGCTGTGACATAGTCTCAAATTCAGACCAGGAAAGGATAGTCACCACCTGCGTGCAAGGCCGGGAATTGGTGCTTACAAAGCCAGCAAACATCAGTGGGCTAGTTTGTGCTCTGCCCTGGGGTGCAGAGTTTTATAAACTGAGACCAAGAAAGGATGGGTGCTAAAGGTGTGCTTGGCTGGGATATGATGATCCCAGACCCCAAACAGCAAACACAGGGCGCCAAATGATTATCCTCTCCTCTGCAAGATCCTAAAATGGGCGTGGGCCTCAGGAGCAGTGAGTTGTGGGCTTTGGAGACAGCAAACACCGAGGGCCTGCTAGAAGTCGTGGAGGAAGCATCAGTTACTTCAGGGTCAGGGCGAAGAATTGAAGTTGGGGGGATACAGACCCACAGATGTTCTTGGAGGGATGTGATAGGATGAGTATACGCGTAATTTAGAATACAGATTGAAAGTAGGCGGGACTAATGGTATGTGGTTGAGACTTTGAGTGCTGCTACTCCCCAGGAGATCTCAGTCATGTGCCTTCACTTCTTGGAGGGTCAGAGTTCTCACCTTGAAATGGGGTGTAACCCTCCCTCCATTGGAAAGGTTCAGTTTCAGGAATAGTCATTGAACCACACAGTCCAGGTCTCACAGTCTGGTGGGGGACAGATAAAAATGATAGAACTAGCAATTATAGAACAGTAGAAAAGACAAATAGTAAAAGAAAACCTTAGCTGGCTTTCACTGCTATGATGATGATGGAATGTGGAGGGCCAGGGTCAGTGGTGGTTCCCTCTGGGAGGCTAGTAGGATGGGGTGCAGCCTACTTTCCCTTTATGTCCCATGGGCTTCCTTGGGCTTTGAATTTTTACTTCAAAAAGGTGTTTGTGTATTGAATGATGAAGAAAATAAAGGAAAAATCAGTTCTGAGAACAGTGTGATGTGTGCTAGGCTAGGGGAAGGGCAGCAGAACTGTGGGGATCTAGAGATGACCCAGGCAGTGGGAACTACATTTGCAAAACTCTGCCGGGTAGGGGGGGGGGTCCTTCTAGGACTCACAGAAGTTCATGTGGGTGAGCAGCTAGAGATGAGGCTTGTGAACTTTATCTGGGATTCAATGTGGAGATAAGAAAGGGTTTTCAGCAGGGGAGCAACACAATGTGATGTATGTTTTATAAAGTTCACCCTGGCTGCTCTGAGAACAGACGGGAGGGGGCCACAGTGACAGCAGGAAGGTGAACGAAATGACTGCAGTTGTCCTGCTGAGAACTGATGACAGCATGGGCCCGGGGGACAGCTGTGGGGATGGAGAGAAAGTGGATCTGAATGATATTGGGGAGGCAGAATAGGCTAGATTTGCTGAAGGACTAGAAATGCAGGGAGGGAGGGGTGATAGGTTGAGGGAAGAATCAAGGGGTGTTCCAGGGGCTGTGGCTGGGTAGACTGTGGTGCTCTATTCTTACCAATGAGGATTACTGGAAGAGGAATAAACTTTGGAGTGGTGGTGACATACTTAGTTTGAGTTGTTTATTTTTATTTATTCAACTTTTTATTTACTGATTTTAGAGAGAGAGGAAGGAGGAGAGAGAAAGAGAAACATTGATCTGTTGTTCCACTTATTTATGCATTTATTGGTTGATTCTTGTATGTGCCCTGACCAGGGATCAAACCTACAAACTTGGCATATTGGGACAATGCTCTAACTATCTGAGCTACCCAGGCAGGGAAGTTGGAGTTCAGTTTAGATAGGCAGCATTCTTTTAAAAAAATACTTTATTTTTTTAGAGCAGTTTTAGGTTCATAACAAAGTTGAAAACTACTGGACTTCTAGCCAAGATGGAGGCATAGATAGATACACTTTGCTTTATCTCACAACCAAAAGAAGGACAACAACAAATTTAAATACAAAAAACAACCAGAATTGCCAGAAAATCAAACTGTATGGAGGTCCAAGAACCAAGGAGTTGAAGAAATATTCATTCAGGCTGGTAGGAGAGGTGGAGGTGGGCAGCCAGTGCTGGGGGCACACACAGCAAGGTAACAACTGGAGGACTGGGCAGGCGACGTGGCAGCTGGTGGTCTCACATTTGTATGGGGATAAAGCGGGAGGAACAACTTAGGAGCAAGACAGACTGCGCAACCCAGGGTTCCAGCTTGGGAAAGGAAAGCCTCAAAACCTCTGGCTGTAAAAATCTGTTGGGGTTGCAGTGGGGGGAGAAACTCCTAGCCTCACAGGAGAGTTCACTGGGGAGACCCACAAGGTCCTAGAATGTACACAAACCCACCCACCGGGGAATCAGCACCAGAAGGGCCCAGTTTGCTCGTGGGTAGCAAGGGAAGTGACTGAAAGCTGGCTGAGAGCTAAGCAAGCAGCATTATTCCCTTTTGGACCCCTCCCCCCCACACAGCACCGTAACACAGCGATGTGGGTTGCCCAGCCCTGGAAAATACCTAAGGCTATGCCCCTTACAACATAACAGGTGTCCCAAGACAAAGAAATGTGGCCCAAATGAAGGAACAGGTAAAAACTCCAAAAAAAGGAACTAAGTGATGAAGAGATAGCCAGCCTATCAGATGCAGTGTTCAAAACACTGGTAATCAGGATGTTCAGATAAATGGTTTAGTATGGTCACAAAATAGAGGAAAAAGTGAAGGCTGTGCAAAGTGAAATAAAGAAAAATAGACAGAGAACCAACAGTGACAGGAAGGACACTGGGACTCAAACCAACAGTTTGGAGCAGAAGGAAGAAATAAACACCTAGCCAGAACAGCATGAAGAAATAATAATTCAAAAATATGAGGAGATGCTTAGGAACCTCTGGGCCAACTTTAAACATTCCAACATCCAAACCATAGGGGTGCCAGAAAGAGAAGAAAAAGAATAAGCAATTTAAAACTTATTTGAAAACATAATAAAGGAGAACTTCCCTAATCTGGCAAAGGAAATAGACTTCCAGGAAGTCCAGGAAGCCCAGAGAGTCCCAAACAAGCTGGACCCAAGGAAGCACACACCAAAGCACATCATGATTACATTACCCAAGATTAAAGGTAGAGAATCTTAAAAGCAGCAATAGAAAAGGAGACAGTTACCTACAAAGGAGTTCTCCTAAAAGTATCAGCTGATTTCTCAAAAGACACCTTATAGGCAAGAAGGGACTGGAGAGAAGTATTCAAAGTCATGGAAGGCAAGGACCTACATCCAAGATTGCTCTATTCAGCAAAACTATCATTTAGAATGAAGGGCAGATAAAGTGTTTCCCAGATAAGGTCAAGTTAAAGGAGTTCATCATCACCAAGCCCTTATTATATGAAATATTAAAGGGATTTATCTAAGAAAAAGATAAAAAATATGAAGAGTACCCTGGCTGGTGTGGCTCAGTGGATTGAGTGCCGGCCTACAAACCAAAGAATCACCTATTAGATTCCCAGTCAAGGCACCTGTGTGGGTTGTGGGTCAGGTCCCCAATAGGGGGTGCATGAGGGGCAACCACCCACTGATGTTTCTCTCCCTCTCTTTCTCCCTCCTTTCCCCTCTATAAAAATAAATTAATTAAAAAATTAATAAGTGATTTAAAAATAAAAAATATGAACAGTAAAATGGCAACAAACTCACAACTATCAACAACTGAACCTAAAAAAATTAAAACAAACTAAGCACATAACTAGAACAGGAATAGAATCACAGAAATGGAGATCACATGGAGGTTATTAGCGGGGAGGCGGAGTGGGGAGAATGGGGTAAAAGGTACAGAGAATAAGAAATATAAATGGTAGGTACAAAATAGGCAGGGGGAGGTTAAGAATAGTACAGGAAATGGAGAAGCTAAAGAACGTATATGTATGACCCATGGACATGAATTAAGGCAGGGAATGCCAGTGGGAGGGGGTTTAGGGTGGAGTGGAATAAAGGGGAGAAAAAAATGGGATGGCTGAAAATATACTTTTGTATTTTTCAAGATTTTTATTTATTTATTTTTAGAGAGGTGGGAAAGGAGGGAGAGAGAGGGAGAGAAACATCAGTGTGGAGCTGCCTCTCATGTGCCCCCCGCTGGGGACCTGGCTCGCAACCCAGGCATGTGCCCTAACTGGGAATCAAACCAGCAACCCCTTGGTTTGTAGGCTAGTATCAATCCACTGAGCCACATTAGCTAGAGCTAAAATATACTTTAAAAAATAGAGCAAAAGAAGAAAAAGTTGAGAGGAAGGTAGAGATTTCCTGTATACTCCCTCACCCCACACATTCAGAGCCTCCCCGCTACCAACATAACTCACCAGAATGGTCCATGTTACCAAGGAGGAAATTACACTGACACATCATAATCACCGAGAGTTCATGCTTTACCCCGGGGTTGACTCCTGGCATTGTGCATGCTATTAGACAAATATATAATGACATGTATCCATTACTCTAATGTCACAGAGTATTTTCTGCCCTAAAATCCTCTGTGCTCTGCCCCCTCCTGCAACCCCTAACAAGCACTGAACTTTCAATTGTCTCCAAAATTTTGATAGGCAGTATTTTTTTAAAAATATGTTTATTGATATTTTTAGAGAGAAAGAAAGGGATAGAGAGAGAGGAACATTGATACGAGAAACATTGATTGGTTGCGTACCATTTGCATCCCCAGCTGGGTATCAAATGCACAACCTAGGTATGTGTCAGGCAGTATTTTTTAAATTAAAATATTTATTTTGAAATAATTTTTTTCCTGAAGATTCACATGCAGTTATAAGAAGTAGTACAGAGAAATCCTATGCATTCTTTACCAATTTTCCTCAATATAATATCTAGCAAAACTGTCCTATTATATACAACCAGTCAACACATGGTGCTGTTCCATCCCTATTAGATATTGCCCTTTTTTTAGCCACGCCCACCTCTTTCCCCCTGCCTCCCATCCCTGATGTCTGGCAACCACTAGTCTGTTCTCCATTTCTAAAATTTTGTCATTTTAAGAATGTCCTATAGCCCTGGTGGTGTGGCTCAGTGGATTGTGTGCCAGCCTGTGAATGAAAATGTCATCAGTCCAAGTCCAGTCAGGGCACATGGCAGGGTTGCGGGTCAGGTCCCCAGTAGGGGGCGCATGAGAGGCAGCTACACATTGATGTTTCTCTCTCTTTCTCCCTCCCCCTCGCTCTAAAAATAAGTAAAATCTTTTTTTAAAAAAGAATGTCATGTAAATACAATCACATATTATATAACCTTTGAGATTGGCTTTTTTTCATTCATCATAATTCCACGGAGATTCATATACTGTTGTTTGTAGCAATAGTTTTGTTCCTTTTTATTGTTGTGTAGTATTCCCTGGTATGGATGTACCAAAGGCTTTTTAAAAAAAATTATTTTTATTTTTTATTTTAAGAGTGTGTTTATTAAAGCTGGATACAGTGAAACGAGGGAGGGCTTAGGATAGAAGAAGCCACAGGAGAGAGCCTAGGCGGGGCCGCTTTGGTTCTCTGGAAACGTAATGGGAAAGAAGTACGCCAAGGCAGGGACACTGTCAGCTCCCTGGAGAGTCAGAGAAAGGGGGTTGGGGACAGGTTCCAGGGATTAGCTCCGGATGAGCTGCAGCTGCCCATAGCTTCCCTGGTTCCAAGTCTTGTGGGGTCCCTTAGAGTTTAGGAGGTGCAGGCCTGTGGGGGAAGGTGAAGGGAAAGGGAAAGGCATAGGCCTGCTCCCAGGGCAGAGAGCATGCCTGGATGTACCAGTTCAACCGTTCACTTATTGAAGGACATTTGAGTTGGTTCCAGTTTTTTACTCTTATAAATAAAACTATTAATGTTCATGTATGCATCTGCACACAAATGCTAACACACAATTTTGCATAAACAGTAGAAGATTTACTGAAGCTCATTCAAGGAAGGAAGCATGGACTGCGGTATTATGGAGAACTAGTTTGAGGGTGAGTGAGGCTGCCCAGAGAGTATAAGAAAGAAAGGAGAGAGAATCCAGACAGAAGGAACCTTTCAAAATAGAAACATTTAAGGGATGGACAACAGAAGCAGAGAGTAAAGCAGGCCAGGAGGGAGCAAAGAGAAAGGTGGGGGATGACTCAGGAAGGGTGGTGTCCTGGAGCCAAAGAAGGGAGTGTTTCAGGAAGAAATGCCCGAAGCTGCTGGATGGTCTTTGGTGATATTGGTGGAATGGATACTGGCGTGGGTGAAGGAAGATGGGGAGGTAGAGGATGTTAGACAGCTCTCATCAGATGCTCGATGACAGGAGAGATGGGTACTTGGGCTCAAGAGGGCGTTCTAGAGAGATCTGAGCACGTGTCATGGCTCAAGGGAAGAAGTTGCAGGCAGCATTGGGACCAGGGCTAGTTGGTGGTGAGTGGTTTCTGGGGGAGCAAGAGGGGAGGAAGGGAAGGGCTAGCCTCAGGAGGGACACAGCCTGCATTGTGACAGGGGAAAGTATGGATTCACTTTGGCTGATGAGCTAAGGGTTCTAATTTGCATTGCTGTTAGAAGCTGGGGCAGGAGTCCAGGTAAGATCTGAGAGATTGGAGGGAGAGCATTGGCTGTGGAGACAGAAAGAAGGAGACACCCTCTGGGTTCCTTGGGAGGAAGGCAATGTGCCTTGGTGTCCTATTAGGTGTGACTAGGCCTGTCCTCCAGCTAGTGACATGGCTGGACAAGTATACTACTGTGAATCTCAATACTGACAACGAATTGGAAAATGTGGAAGTAGTCTGCTTCTCAAGAGCCCCCTGACTACAAATTAAGATTATGTTATTTCTTGAGGAGTAAAAGACAAGCATGCATTGGAACACAAGGGAGGTGAGGACACCCGAGTGCAAACAGCTTTGTGGGATTTGTGGGATGCAGATGAAGAAGACTTGGTAACGTGGTTTTCAGAGGTGCTGTATCACTTAGGATTAGATTCAGCTACAATGAAGAGCGGCACAAACTATGAGTGACTTGAGTAGGCTAGAAGTTCATTTCTCTCACATGGGAGTTAGGAGGAAGACAGTCCAGAGCTATGAGGGTGACTGTGTTCTACAGAATTCTCAGAGGTCCAGGATTTTTCCACTTTTTTTTTCCCTATAATCCCTAAGGTGTGGCTGTTTTCCTCATGATTTGGGATGGCAGCTAGAGTTCCCATCACATATTCTTGTGTTAGGAAGCAGGATGGAGGATGGGACAAAAAAGGGGGTCAAATACCAGGGAGCTTTTAAGAAAACTTCCCAGAAACTGCCATGTACATTCCATTGGCTAGAATTTAGACATTCCCTAGCTGCGGGGGTTGCTGGGAACTGTAACCTTTAATCTGGAACCATGTTTTCAGCCCAAGCCTTGGGTTCTGTTGCAGTGGAGGCACGAGAGCATGTATATCGGGGTACAGCCAGGTGTCTTTGCCATGGAGGCTTACAGTGAGTCGGGCTTGTAAGGGTGAAATCAGAGCAGGATGCTGGGCCCACCTTCCAAAGAGGTTTCATTTCTTTCTTCAGGAATGGACAATCAGACCGTCCTGGCTGTCCAGTCATTGTTGGATGGCCAAGGAGCAGTCCCTGATCCAACGGGCCAGAGTGTCAACGCACCCCCTGCTATCCAGCCACTGGGTGAGTATCTGCTTAGTGGGAAGGGTGAGTGGCTCCCCTTGAAAAACAACTGGTACTCATGAAGGGATGTGGGAGGGAACTGCCCATATGTCCCCTGGATGTCTGGTGTCTGAACCATCTCCCCTTCCTCCCAGCCTGGATCTTCGGGCTAATGCCTTTCTCTGCTTAGCTCGGAGGACACTCTCTTTCAATCACTTAGTGAATGTGGGGATCATGACACCAGAATGGCTAGTAGTCCAGATGCTTGCCAATGCTTGTACCTTTGACCCAGAAGTCATTGCTCAGCCTCCCCTCTATGGAAAGAACAGGATGAGCACGAACGTCTAACTTACAGGCCATGTCCCTAAGGCACAGAGAGAGCAAAGAACTTCTTTTAGAGCCCCGTGTGCGTCTCTGTTTTATTTATTCCACAAACCTATCTGAGTACTTGGGAGCCAAACTGGGACCAGTGAGAAACACATCTGGGTTTGAATCCTTATTCCTGTAGTTCCCAGCTCTGTGACTTTGGGCAAGTGAGTTAACCTCTCTGTGCCTGAGTTTTCACATCTGTAAAATGGGGATAATTGCCTTAACTCATAGAAATCTTGTGATGATACTTGGGATATGTTTTTAACTGTTATAAATAAGAAATCAAGTTTCTTGTGGTTTATACAAGATTAAAGTTTATTTTTCTGTTACCTGAAAAGTACTTATGAACTTTTGGGGTGGGTATGGTGAGACTTAGACTCCTTTCTTGTGGCTGTATCGTCCTCAACATGCTGTTTAGGATGGCTACTCTAGTCTCTCACTTTCATTTCCACATTCTAGCCAACCTGAAGGGAAGAAAGAAGGAAGTGAAAGTCATACCACTTCCTTTTAAGGAAGTTGCTCAGGCAATATACTTCTGTTCTTGACCTATTGGTTAGAGGTCAGTCACCTGACATGCATAGCTGCAAGGAAGTCTGGAAAATATAGTCTTTAATAGACAGCCATGTGGCCAACTAAAATTTGTATTGAGAGTGAATATCTGATGACAATTAAACAGTTCTGCCACAGCGTGTCAAGTGCTTAGCACAGTGCATGGCCTGTGGTAGGCCCTCAATAATGGGTGGTGTTAACTGTAACTAATCATTTAGTTTTTCATTCATTCAATAAACATCCACTGAGGGCCTCCTATGTGCCCAGGATATATTGCAGTAATGGTGAAAAGTAAGACATATTTTCTTCCCTTAGAAGACTAACAGTCTGGTGGTGATGGGGAAAGTGTGATATGACAGGCAGGTCTAGAGGATGGAACTGTGGCCACTGCTTTAGGAAGGCTTCCTGGAGGAGGTGGCCTCTGAGCTGAGCCTTGTAGAGTGTGTTGGTCTGAGTGAGGCAGCTTGCAGGGGAAAGTGGGATGCAAAGCCACAAAGGAGTGTGATTATGTGGCCTATTTGGAATAATGAATAAATTCATGCAGGATAAAGAATCTGAAGTTCTCAACTTTGAAGCGAACCCACTTTACTATTTCCTGATTCTGATTTTTCAATGCCTTCATACACATGGCTGGATACTCCCACAGGGGCTATATGGTATTGGAAGCTCAGAAGAAGCACAAAATTGGCCCTTGACTCATGCACATGGAATCATAGAATGCTGTTATTCTGGTCCATCCTCAAGTCTCCTCCCATTTCTCACTGTAATACCCTTCCTTTATTCTTGCTTTTTTTTTTGTTACTTCCCTCTCACACACTACTCTGCGGTGTGATCCCCAGATGATGAGGATGTCTTTCTTTGTGGGAAGTGTAAGAAGCAGTTCAACTCACTGCCGGCGTTTATGACCCACAAGCGGGAACAGTGCCAGGGGAATGCCCCGCCCCTGGCCACAGTGTCTTTGGCCACCAACAGCATCTACACACCTTCAGCAGCACCCACAGCAGTCCAGCAGGCCCCACCTCCTGCAAATCGCCAGGTATTCTTTCTTTCTATTTCTTTTTAAAAGATTCTATTTACTTTTTAGAGAGAGGGAAAGGAGGGGGAAAGAGAGAGAAACATCGATGTGAGAAACGTTGATTGGTTGCCTCTTGCACACCCCTAACTGGGGACCTGGCCCACAATCCAGGCATGTGCCTTGACCCGAATTGAATTGGAGACCTTTTGGTTTGAAGGATGATGCCCAATCCACTGAGCCACCCCTGTCAAGTCCAGGTATTCTTTTAATTGTTTGTTTGTTTATTCATTCATCCATTCAGCAAGTCTTTTTTTGAGCACTCACTGTGTATGAGAGGCACTGGGCAGGCACTAGGGATATAGTGATGGACAAACAGACCAAGTCACTGCCCTCATGGCATTGAGTGAAACAGATGGTAACCAAACAAATTTGTAGAGATGTTTTTTTCAGGATATTAAATGCAGAGAGAGATGGGATGCCAATACAGGGCTGGGAGGTCTTGCCAATTTTGTCCATGGTACTTGGGGAAAGGCTCTGTGAAGAAGTGACATTTGAGTGGAGACCTAAGGAGGTGAGGGAATGAGTCTAGCAGCCAGTTTGGGGAACAGTATTCCAGGAAGTGTGGTCAGAAAGTGCAAAGGCCCTGTGGCAGGCATGTGCTGGGTTTACTCCGGGAACAGCAAGGAGGGGAGAGTGGCTGGAGCTGTATGAGAGAGGAGCAGGGTGGGAGATGATAAGGTCAGAGAGGCAACAAGGGGGTCTGGGTAGCTCATGTGGGACTTACCGACTTTTACTCTGAGAGATGGGAGCCACTGGAGGGTTTTGAGCAGAAGAGGGATAGGGTCTGATTTACACTTTAACTGGGTCTCTCTCAGTACTGTATAGAGAAGAGATCTCGGTGGCAGTCAAGAGAGAAAGCCAGGACACCTATTAGTGGGCTGTTGTGCAAGTCTAGACAGAGGGTGGTGGTGGCAGAGTTCGTAAGAATTACGAGATTTTGGAAATGTTTTAAAAGTGGGGCCATCAGGGCTTGTGGATAGATTGGGTGTGGGGGTGTGAGATCAAAAGGAGTCAGGGCGACTCCAGAGTTGGCGTTGCCATCAACCAAAGTAGGGAGATGGCTAGGAGGAGCTTTGGGGGATGTCAGGAGTTCAGCTTGACATGTTGCATTTGTGACGCCCATTGGACCTATGAGTAGGAGCGGTGAAGATGCAGACAGATACACAAGTCTGGAGGCCGGGGAGAGGGTCAGGTGAGAGGTATCTGGAGAAGCTTCCAGAGTTCTCAGTCAGCAACACAATTCTGGAGCAAAGACACTCGGGGTGGGAACTCTTAGAGGGATTAAAGAATCCTCATAAAGGGAGCTGGGCATGTCTCAGGATGCCCAGTCAAGGAGTTGAATTTCCTCTGGCTTCCACTTATCTCCCTCTTTCTATTTCTTTTTTTAAAATTATTTTTATTTAGTGATTTTAGAGAGAAGGGGGGAGGGAGAGAGAAAGAGAGAGAGAAAGACATAGATTTGTTCTTCCACTTATTTATGCATTCATTGGTTGATTGTCGTATGTGCCCAGACCAGGGATCAAGCTGCACCTTTAGCATTTCAGGACAACACTAACTAACTGAGGCTACCTGGCCGGGGCTCCTTATTTCTTTAAAACATTCCATCCATTGTGTAGACATAATTCCTGTCATCAAAATAAAAACCTTCAGGCCCTGGCCAAGTAGCCCAGTTGGTTAGAGCATCGTCCCATATGCCAGGGTTGCAGGTTCCATCCCCTGTCAGGGCACATACAAGAATCAACCAGTTATTTTCTGGACAAGGAAATAGCTTCAGAACACAGCGGTTGGTTATGGGCAAACATGAACTCCCTGCCAAAGAGGCTTAAATGGACATGGGTACAATTTCCCATTTTTCATTTCAGCCTAACACATGTGACATTGTAAAAAACATGTAAGCCAGAGTCTACATTGCCTTTCCTGGTCAGAACGTGGGGCATTTTCCTAACTTGCCTGGGCTGTCCTTGCTTGGTTGAAGGAAAGGGCAACCTATTTGAACAGGGACCCTGGATTCAGGGACTGGGTCACTGCTGTCCGCAGAGGTCCTACAGAGAGAGGTGACCTAGGATGATGCCCAGGGCCTGCCAGTAAAGAAAAGCAACAGGTGAAGAAATCAAAACACCCTTTCCACCTACTGAGAGGAGCAGTCACTGCATGTTTGACACTCTCGTATAAGGTCTGCCTTTTACCCTCACTATTAACCTGAGAGCATAGTATATTTTTAATACTTATTTGTATGTTTGCAAATAATACATGTTTCCCTTCTCCTTTGTAAAAAATGTGTTACAAATCAAGGTGTCATTGGCATTATTCCTCTCCCCTACCCTCAGGTAATTACTGATGGATATTCTTCTCAAACTTTTAATCTTTTTTTTTTAAGATTTTATTTATTTATTTTTAGAGAGAGGGGAAGGAAGGGAGAAAGAGAGGGAGAGAAACATCAATGTGTGGTTGTCTCTCACATGTACCCCACTGGGGATCTGGCCTGCAACCTGGGCACATGCCCTGACTGGAAATCGAACCTGCGACACTTTGGTTTGCAGCCTGCGCTCAATCCACCAAGCTATGCCAGCCAGGGCCTTCTCAGTTTTTTAAGCTACTTTCACACATTATTTAAGTCTCCACAGGAATTATATAGTAGTATTGCTTTAGGTTTTACCTACTATATAGCATTCTTATCCATGACTATATTGTATTTTTTAAATTCATTCCCCTGCTGATGGACATCAAGGTTATAAGAAACAACACCATGCAGAACACTCTTGTTCGTGAACTGCCTGTGGGCATGTGAGTTTCTCTAGGATAGATGCCAGAAAGTATTATTGCTGGGTCCTAGGGTATGTGCCTTAAGGGGAGGTGTGATTTATTCTTCTCATTTGATAAATGGGGAAATGGAGGTTCAGAGAGGTGGAATGACTTGCCCAGGGTCACACAGCAGCAGGGAGCAGCAGGGGTGGAGATGAATTTCAGGTCTGTGGGACTTCGGAACCCAGATCATTTGCGTCATGCCCTCTGCTTTTTTCCAGAGCCTCCCACATGTTCACTTCCTCTCTCTTTCTTCTTTCATCCTCTTTCTCTTTCCAGATCTCTACGTACATCACAGTGCCCCCATCCCCACTGATCCAGACCTTGGTGCAGGGGAACATCTTGGTGAGCGACGACATGCTCATGTCTGCTATGTCAGCTTTCACATCCCTGGACCAGCCCATGCCACAGGGCCCCCCGCCCGTGCAGGTAAGGGGGGCGCTGACTCCTTTCAGGATCCTGATTCCAGGCCCACATGTTGACTCCTGCAGATTCAGAATGTTGTAGAAAGAAGGGGGTTTGGCCCAGGTCTCCCCGATGCTGAGGAGGACAACCAGCCTCCCCTTGCCCAGCCCCGCTATGGGTGGGAAAGCTGCCATGTTAGCGGGGACCTAGAATGTGACTTAAAGTTTCGTAGCCACAGTCAGCTATTTTAACTCCTGGTTTTATTCTTAACAGAAGTGTTCCATGCCCTTCGAAAAACATTAAAAAATATACAAGAAAAGTAAAAAAAAAGTTTAATTATTCATAATCTGGACAGTAAAGAGATATTGTAACTGGCTGGAATGTGTAGTTCTTGGTTGGATCCTGGGTTGTGGGTGGGGGCGGAGGGAAGCCATAAAGACATTATTGGGGAAATTAGAATATGGAGGAATTTAAATATGTTAAATAATAGTATTATATTAATATTCAATTCCTGAGTGTGATGATTGAATTGTGGTTTTATAGGAGAATATCCTTGTTCTTTGGAGAGACATCTGAGTACAGTACCGAGGAACAAAGTGTAATGATGTCTGTAACTACCATAATCCTAAGTGGCTTGATGAAACAGTGTGTACGTGTGTGTATGTGTGTATTCATATGCACACACACACATTGCAGGTGTGGCGAAAGGGTAACAACTGAGTGAATAAGATGAAGCATAAAGAGTGTATGTATTATTCCATCCTTTCTGTATGTTTGACATTTTTCAGAATAAAAGTTGGGAAACCAGTCAGTCACTCACTCTCCCTCCACTCAAAGAAAATACTCTCAAAATTTTGGCTTTCTCTATTTCCTTGAATGCAAGTAAAAATAGAAATAACCCTTTAAAAAAATAAATATAGGGGTGAGCAAAAGTAAGTTTACAGTTGTTTGGAAAATGACATGCAGGTTATTATTATAACAATAATAGCATTATTAACTCAAAAGGCTCACAGTGCAGCTGTAAACCTACTTTTGGGCACCCATGTATGTTTATAGTTTACATGTAGTTTATATAGTTTGCACAAATATAAACAGGTCATGTTACATTACATGCACTGTTCTGGAACTTGCTTTTCTTTCTTTTTTGTTTTTATTGTCCAAAAACATTTATTCAAAATCTTTTAAAATCTTCCTCTGAAACTTTTTGACACATTGTCCTGGTATAAACAGTGGGAACCACTTACTCAAATAGAATCTAGGACCACTGCTATTTAAATTCTTAACTCTCCTAAGGGCACACACAAGAATATCCTTTCCAAGACTTTTATTTTTTTAAAAAAATATATTTTATTGATTATGCTATTACAATTGTCCCATTTTCCCCCCTTCACTCCCCTCCACCCTGTACACCCTCTCCCACCCACATCCCCCCCATTTAGTTCATGTCCATGTGTCATAAGTTCTTTGGCTTCTACATTTCCCATACTATTCCTACCCTCCCCCTATCCATTTTTAACCTACAATCTATGCTACTAATTCTCTGTACCTTTTCCCCCTCTCTCCTCTTCCCCCTTCCCTGTTGCTAACCCTCCATGTGATCTCCATTTCTGTGGCTCTGTTCCTGTTCTAGTTGTTTGCTTAATTTCTTTTGGTTTTGCTTTAGGTGTGGTTGTTAATAATTTTGAGTTTGCTGTCCTTTTACTATACATGTTTTTTATCTTCTTTTCTTAGATAAATCTCTTTAACATTTCATAAAGTAAGGGCTTGGTGATGATGAACTCCCTCAACTTGACCTTATCTGAGAAGCACTTTATCTGCCCTTCCATTCTAAATGAAAGCTTTGCTGGATAGAGTAATCTGGGATATAGGTCCTTGTCTTTCATGACTTGGAATACTTCTTTCCAGCCCTTTCTTGCCTGTAAGGTCTCTTTTGAGAAATCAGCTGACAGTCTGATGGGAACTCCTTTGTAGGTGACTGTCCCCTTATCTCTTGCTGCTTCTAGGATTCTCTCCTTCATTTTTACCTTGGCTAATGTAATTATGATGTGCCTTGGTGTGTTTCTTCTTGGGCCCAACTTCTTGGGGGCTCTCTGAGCTTCCTGGATTTCCTGGAAGTCTATTTCCTTTGCCAGAATGGGGAAGTTCTCCTTTATTATTTGTTCAAATACGTGTTCAATCTGTTGCTTTTCCTCTTCCCCTTCCGGTACCCCTATAATTCGGATGGTGGAACGTTTAAAGATGTCCTGGAGGTTCCTCAGCTTCTCCTCCTTTTTTTGAATTCTTATTTCTCCATTTTTTCCTGTTTGGTTGTTTCTTTCTTCTCTCTGGTCCACTCTATTGTTTTGAGTCCCAGTTTCCTTCCCATCATTATTGGTTCCCTGTGCATTTTCCTTCATTTCTTTTATGGTAACCTGCATTTGTTCATCTAATTTGCACCCAAAATCAACCAATTCTGTGAGCTTCCTGATCACCAGTGTTTTGAACTGTGCATCTGATAGATTGGCTATCTCTTAGTCACTCAAAAGGATGAGTCCTAGCCCTGGCTGGCGTAGCTCAGTGGATTGAGCTCGGGCTGGGAACCAAAGTGTCCCAGGTTTGATTCCCAGTCAGGGTACATTCCTGGGTTGCAGGCCATAACCCCCAGCAACCGCACATTGATGACTCACTCTCTCTCTCTCTCTCTCTCCCTCTCTCTCTCCCTCTCTCCCCCCCTTCCCTCCCTAAAAAATAAATAAATAAAATCTTAAAAAAAAAAAAAGGATGAGTCCTGGGGCATTGATCTGTTCTTCTGTTTGAGACATGTCTCCCTCTTTCTCCCTCTCTCTCTCTCTCTCTCTCTCTCTCTCTCTCTTTTTTTGGTCTGGTCGCTCCTGTTACGGTGAGGGGCGGAGCCTTAGGTGTTCTCCAGGACTGGGCACCCCAGTCGCGAGATTGTGACGTTGTATGTGGGGGCGGGGGCAAACAATGGCGGTATCTCCGTTCTCCTGGGACCTCAGTCCCTTCTCTGGGATCCTGGGTTGCGTGCTCTGCCCTGCTCCACAATCGCCACCTCAGTGGGTCCGCCAGCTGCCACTTGCGTACTCAGGGTCCACCCGCTGCGATCTTGTGCGCCCCAGATGCCTTATGCGCCCAGTTCCTGTTCTCCGCGTGCTTCAACCCACGCCCAGCTGCTCCTCTCCGCCCCCTCTACCAGTCTGGATGAACGGGTCTACTTCAACTTCTTGGCTGTCCGACTTCCATTCAGATAAATTCTCTGTCAGTTCTGGGTGTTATTCTGCCTCTAAATTGTTGTTGTTCTAATCTTGGTTGTGCATGGAGGTACGGTGCATCCACCTATGCCTCCATCTTGCCGGAAGTCCGGAACTTGCTTTTCTTACCTTGCCTTTTGTTTAACTTCATTCTCTACACCTATAACTCTGCATCAGTATTTCCCAAAAAGTTCTCTGGAATGCTAGCTCCTTGGGATTTTCTAATCCAATAAGGATCTCTGGTCAAAGCAGCCTCTGGAGGAATTCTACTTCTTCCCTTGCTTTGTTCCTGGGTTTTTCCTGCAGTAAAGAAATACTTTTGATTTAAAAAATATATATATGTTTGATTTTAGAGAGATAGGAAAGGAGAGAGAGAAACATTGATGTGAGAGAGAAACATCATCAATTGGCTGCCTTCCATATGCACCCTGACTGGGAATCAAACCCCCAACCCTTTGCTGTATGGGACAATGCTCCAACCAACTGAGCCACACTGGTCAGGGCAAGAAATACTTTTGACTTTGTCATCCCAGATTTTTCCCAAACATACTTTACTGTGGAACTCAAAGAACAGTTAAAAGGAGGATTCTTTCTCCTTCCTTCCTCCCTCCCTTCCTTCCTTCCTTCCTTCCTTCTTTTTCTGAGGGGAAGGGAGGGAGAAAGACAAGAGAGAAACACTGATGTAAGAGAAAAATATTGACTGATTGCCTCTCATATGCGTCCCAACTGGGGACCCAACCTGCAACTCAGTCATGTGCTCTGACCGGGAGTTGGACCAGCAGCATCTTGCTTTGCCAGATGATGCCCAACCAACTGAGACACATGGATCAGGCTAAGGAGCACCCTTTGTGAAATACTGCTCAGCATCATTGTTTTAAGAGCGGCAAAGGATTCCATCATGTAGATGGATCAGCCTCTGTTTAGTCAGGCTTCTGTGGATGGACAAGTGTAGGTTGTTGCCATTTTTTGCTGTTCTAAAAACTACTGGAGAACATCCATATGCAGATATGTTTGCCCACCTGCTTGATTACTTTTGTAGAATAAATTTCTACAATCAATGGTTATGTTTTAGGGGACCGTAGCCACCTGCCCATTTGATGACTCTCTAGAAAGACTCCCAGGATTCAGGATGGTTGTACTCATGGCTGTGGTTTATGACAGTGAAAGGATATTCAGCAGGGTCAGAAGGGGAACAAGACGTATCGGCTGGAGTCTAGACTCCAGGTGCAGGTTTCCAAAATTCTCTTTTTGGGGAAGTGGGGAGAGGCTGCACAAAACACTTCCTTCCCCATCAGGGAAGAGCAACAACACGTGTGCAGTGTTTCTGCCCAAGGAAGCACACCTAAGACTCCAAGCCTCAGGCTTTTACTGGAGATTGGCCATAGACACCCAGTCATAATGATCAAAATGCTATAGCCTTCCAGATGGGAAGGAGGTGTTCACCATAAATCACATGGTATGTGCAGACAGTCTAAATAAGTTGATACTGTGCAGTTCGTGCCCCAGGTGGGCAGAAAAGCTTTATCAACATAAGGAACCACCTACAAGGCAGGTTGTGATACCAGTCAGGAACCAGTCCTACAAGCAAGCCTTTCTAAAGACAGCAGCGTTAGGCCTGCTGTATGAACTTGTTCCTGCACAAGCTGCACCATGTCTGCTGACTTTCATAAAGAAAAGGAACAGCAGCACCGAGCTGATGGCTCTTCTGAATTCTCCCCTAACTGTTTCCATGCCCTACCCCCAGTATTGTCCCCTGAGCTGCCTTTGAGTGGCTGTTCTTTCCACATAGTTAAGGCAAATGTCCTTCTTCACTGATAAACAAGACAGCTTGCATTAAGAGGCTATGACGCATTAATTTTCTCTTCTGATTTCAGAGCAGCCTGAGCATGCATTCTGCACCCAGCTACCTCGCCCAGCCTCCGCCACCCCCACCACCCCCTCCACCACTGCCCCCACCCCCACCACCTCAACCCCCACCACCCCCACCTCAGAGCCTGGGTCCCCCTGGGCGTCCCAACCCCGGTGGGACTGGTGTGGTGGAGGTGTACAGTGCCACGGCACCCCTGGCTGGAAGTGGAACAGTGGAGATCCAGGCATTGGGAATGCCACCCTACCCACCCCTTGAGGTGAGCAGAGGCTGGGGGTTGGGGTGGAGGGGGAGAAACTGGTCATGGTCATCATGGGTAATCTGGACCTTTCCTGAGCACCACCTGTGTGCCACCAGACACTGTGCTGGAGGTACCATGGCAGGGATTTGTAGAACCAGATCCTGGAGTGTCCCCCATCATGGGAGAGGGGGACTTTAGTGCCGCCATCATAGCTATAAATGTAAAATGCAAACCATGAGAAAGTGTTGAGAAGCAGAAGGTATAACATAAACACAGACTGCCCTCAGGGAGTGCTCAGGACAGTCAGAGAATACCTGTTTTTTGGGGAGAGGATTCCTCAAATTACCTATGTGTCTTACACTTTTTTAAATTAGCTAGGTATATTAGTCAACTATGCCTTTGTAAGGAATATCCACAAAACTTCAGTGATAGATAGCAAAACTGTTTCTTGTTCTCTCATCTGCGGTGGTCTGTGTGGCAGCTCTGCTGATCTTGGCTGGGCTGCCCTGTGTCTGGAGGTTGGCTGGCTGCCAGCTGCTCTAGCATGGCCTGGGGTGGGGTGAGTAGGGTAACACAGCTCTGCTCCATGCGTCTTTCTTCCTCTGGCAGGTTAGCCAGGTATGCTCTCACCACGGAGGTGGAGATGCAGTAGTGCAAGCAGAAATGCTCAAGGCTTCTTGAGGCTTAGGCTTGTAAGTGACATAGTCACTTCTGTTGGTCAAAGCACATCCAAAGCCAGCTTAGATTTAAGAAATAAGATAATAGATGTCATCTCGTAATGGGTAAAGCTTCACTGTCATGCTGCAAAGGGAGTGGGTACAGGAAGAGGTAAAGGACTGAGGCCATTATTACAATCAGCACATCATACATACCATGCCAACTCCCTGCTGAAGAGCTCTGAGCTATAAGCAGTCTGCTCTCAGGGAGATAAGAGTTCCGAGTCTGCCCCCAGCACTTCCTAGCAGTGCCAGGAGCATGGTTATAACAGAAAGAGCCTGCCTGCACTTGAGGCCACATTATCCCCGAGTCACCGTAGAATCAGCCATATAGACATTCCATCCACATCAGGTAGCATCTATATGTAAGGAGAACCAGACCAGTGGGGAAATTCCACCACCAGCCATGTGAGGTCCTGAGAGCCTGCCAGAGGACTTGCCCTAGTCTGGGAGGATAAAGCAAGCTTCTCTGAGGACTTTGTGAACTAAAAAAAGAAAAGTCAGTGAGATGCTGAGAGCGTGATGGCCTGATAGGCAGGGGGGTCAGCACCGGGAGCTGCCACTTTTTATTTTCCATGTAGATGAGGGTACCTTTTGAGGTCGGAGCCTGAGTCTTCTTTGATTTTGCATCCGTAGCACTTAGCAGTGTACCTGGCCTTTAATAGATATCTGAAACAGGGCCCTCTGAGTTCAGTTTCCTCTCTAAAACGGGAACTCCTCTTGCAGAGCTGTTGAGGATAATGAGAGCTACCCCAGTCTCATAATTGCTCCTGAATGATGGGTGAATTCACTGAGTGTGGTATTGGTCAGGAAAATAGAAACCCCTCTAGGTATTTCTGGCAGAGGGATTGAATACAGGAAGTTGGGTGCTTACAAAGCTGATAGGAGGGCTAGAGGAACAAAAGTCGAGGTTGGTGGGCATCATTGGTTTTCAGAGTCACTGTTGCTTGTCCTGAGAGCCAGGGCACCGCTGCTGCACCCGGACGTGAGGAAACAGTAGGATTCTGTTGCTGATGTTCCAGCTGCCCCGCCATCCTTGGGGCTGGTTGTCAGGGAGGAGATGTAGAGTTCAGCCAGCCACTCCCAGACTCATGACTCCATCTGCCTCTCTCCCACTACAGCTGCTGGAGAGTGGTTACTACCTCCCTTCTGCCTTCTGCATCTCATGGTTTTTGTGGGCAGAACCTCATCTGTGTTCAGAACCTTATTGCAAGACAGTCTGGAAATGTGGTTCCAAGCTTCCCACCCCTGTATTTCAGGGGAGAGCATGAAGGGTGTGGGAATGGTGCCAAGAGCCAACAGACAAGATCTGGCAGAAGCATCTGGTGCCACATCAGATGCCCTACACATGCTTAAATGAATTCATTCATTCGAAAAATATTTATTGAGTACACACTCTGTGCCCAGCATTGTTGTAGGCCTGGGCACAGAGCAGTAAACAAAAGCTAAACAAAAGCAAAACAAAAGTCCCTGTCTTCATAAGCAGATAATAAACAAGATTTGTAAGTAAAATACACAACATTACATAATGATAAGTCTAAGGAGAAAGATACAGAAGAGAAGGATAGGATGTTTAATTTTGGATAGACCAGCCCAGGAAAACAATGAATGATAAATAGGTGAATGAATAGGTGAATTCTTCACAATGCTTCAGTGTCATGATGTTAGCTTCATGATAACCAAATGTGAGTGGCTTGGAATTCACTGTCAATTCTCAGTTGAGGGATGCCTGCTGGTGTAGTTTCTGGCAGTGTCAGTTAAGAAGTATAGTAGCTGGTGGGGGCAGGGACCCTTCTGAGTTCCTGGTTCTTTTGTGCAAGCAAACTACAATAACAATGATAATGGCAATAACAACAGATAATATTTATTGAGTACTTACTGTATGCTAGGCACTGTTATAAACTCTTGTTAGTTTATTTAATCCACACAACAACTCCATAAAAGGGGTACTATGATTAGCACCATTTTACAGATGTGGGAACTGAGACAGAGAAATTTAAAGACTTACTCAAGATCTCTTAGTTTTTGTTTTTGTTTTTTAAATTAATGGCAGAGTCAGAGTTTGAATCCCGGCAACCCGGCTCCAAAGCTGCTTCTAGCCTTCTGACTTCATGAAGTTCAAAGGGGTCTCGGGAGTCACTGGGGTGACTGAGCTAGGTGGAGGAATTAGGATGGTGCTCTAGGTGGGCAGTGGCTGAGATCAGCCATGGCCACCGAGAGTGTCCCCCTGGCTGGGGTGGTTTTTCCTCTCCCTTCCCAGAGCCCTTTGCCTGACTCTACTGTCCTTCTAGGTGCCAAACCAGTGTGTGGAGGCTCCAGTGTACCCCACCCCCCCAGTGTACAGCCCCGGCAAACAGGGATTCAAACCAAAAGGACCTGACCCCACTGCCCCCTTGACCAGCGCCACTGGGGGCACGGTGGCCACCTTTGACTCCCCACCAGTGCTGAAGACCCGACGGGCCAAAGGTGCCAGTGGACTCCCAGAAGGTGGGCGTACAGCCTGAGCATCTTCCCTCAGCATCGGCCTGTCTACAGGCTGCTTGCTTCTAGCCTTCCCTTTTATGATGGTTAGGATTAAGTTTGATTGCATGTAAGGAAAAATCCAAGATAAGAGTAACTTCAAAATGATAGAATTTTGTTTTTCTCCTGTGCAAAGAAAGCAAGGCCAGAAGTAGGCAATCAGGAAATCACGTGCCTGTGTGGTCACCAGGAACCCACATTTTTTTTTCCGCTTTACCATCCCTAGTGCCTGGCTTCTGTTTCCAGCATGCCCCATTGTGCGAGATGGCTGCTGGAACTCCAGTTATTAATTTCATATTTTAGGCAGTAAAGATAAAAGGGGCATCTTCCAGCTTCTAGCAGTTCTGCATGATGCTTTTTGCTTCATCTCATTGGTCAAAACTTAGTCACATGAGCATATCTAGCAGCAAAGAAAGCAGTAAATGTCTCTCTCTCTAAAGGTTTTACTTCTTTTTAGAGAAAGGGGAAGGGAGGGAGACACAGAGGGAAAGGAACACCTGTGCGAGAGAGAAACATCAGTCTGCTCCCTTCTTGTCTTCACGACTTCTAGGCATGTGCCCTGACCAGGAATTGAACCTGCAACCTTTAGATTTGTCCGACTACGCCCAACCCACTGAGCCACACTGGTCAGGGCAGGAAGTGTCTCCTTTAGCCAGGAACACTGATGTTTTTCTTAGGTGGAGCACTTGAGGGAAAAGAAGAAGGGGAGAATGGATATTAGGTAGGCACACAGCAATTGCCTGCCACCCCTTTGGAGATGCTAAGTATGGGGTTGGGGGCAGGGTCAGAAAGTGCTGCGGGGTGAGGAGGGCAGAGAACCTGAGAATTTTTCAGGGCCTTCCAGTCAATTACTTCCGTGCTGCTTTTCTTTCACAAATATATGTTGAGTTTCATTTCAGGCATTAGGAATCTGGCATCTTGGTCCAGGATTTTCCCATCCTCAGTTGTCACAGTTTAATGGGAAAGACAGACAGGGAATAAATAAATATTAATGGGTTAGTCTAGGAAGGATATTAGCGGGGTATTGTGATTGATGGGGTGATATTGGGGAGAGGCTGGAAAATGATGCTACTAATCCAGCCAGGGATGAGAGGGAAACAGCCTTTCGGCTCTCTGAGGGACAGCCATACCACACAAGGGGGAAGAGCAGGTTCAAAGGTCCTGAGGTGGGAACATGTTTGAGGTCTTTAAAGGTTAGCAAGGAGTCTGCTGTGGCTAGCTGGAGAGAAGAATGAGGTTGGCAGAAAGCAGAGAAGGCAGAGCCCTGTGGACCCCAACAGAGAGATTGGATTTTATCCTAGGGCAGAGAGAAGCCTTTAAGGGGTTTGTTCTGCTCTCCCAGCCAGAGCATGTCCTGGGCTTTCGTGTCCCCAGAACTCTGAGAGGCTCACCTGTGCCTCTTCCCCTGCCTGTCCGTGAGTGTAGACCTCCCAGGGTCTGGGATTTCTGGCTGCAGGTCCAGGGAGTAGAGTGGCTGGGGGCTGCCCTTGGCATCCAGCGTTGTATCCCCAGCCTCACCACCCCTCTCCTCCTACTTTGTCTTTCAGCTGCAGGGAAGCCAAAGGCTCAGAAACTCAAGTGCTCATACTGTGACAAGTCATTCACCAAAAACTTCGACCTGCAGCAGCACATCCGAAGGTACCCAGGCATGGCGGGGGCAGGTGGCTCCCAGCAGCTCTGGCTGGGGAGCCATGTGCAGTAGAAGGAAGGCTCCTTTCTGAGCACCCTAACCTGGGTTGTGACCGAGGCCTCATCTGTCCTGTCATGGTTCTCAGAACTTTAGTCCAGGTCAGGATGGTTTTCCCTCTTCTCCTGTGAAAGCTGTGGGGCCTGCGCACTATGATGGGGAAGACCTTGAAGGGGGAGAGGTAGGGGGAGAAATGTACTTGAACTGGTAGGGGCTTTGCAGGTATGAGGGGTGCCTCAGTCCTCACCTCTGCAGAAAGGGCTGGCCTCCAGGGCTGCTGGGCTCTGTGAATATGACTCCGCCTGCTCACTCAGCACTGACCACAATACTTCTTGTCCAAGAGAAGACAGGGAGCCTCTCTGGTCCTCAGGTTTTTCTCCTGTGCAGGGGTGGACTTGTTCAGTGTTTCTCAGAGTGTGGTAATTAGTATGTGAGATGATTATAGGTGGTTTGTAGATATGGTTTTGAAAAATTCTGAAAGACATAGTGGGAAAATTATTGTCTTTTCAGTTTATTTCGGTCCTTGGAGAATCAAAGGAGAAAGCCTCAATTTGGTGCTAGTCTCTCCTAAAATATTTTAAATTTTAAAGCAATTGATTTGAAGGAATGTATTAAATTATGATACAAGTGCTGTGCTGTAGTAGCTAGGATATTTTTTTCCTTCAAATAACAAATCCCTATTTAAATGGGTTTAATAATTAGGAAATGTTTCATCTCACAGTATGAGGTGGCCATGAAGAAAGTCAGCCCCAGGGCCGGTTGATTCAGCAGCTCAGTAATGTCACCGAGAGCACGGAGTTTTTCTGTCTCTGGTCTGCCTGCCTTAGCAAGAGGGCTTGTCCTCGTGCCGTCAGAACGATGGACAGCAGTATCTGGTGGCCAGCAACACCTAGATGTTTTGTCTGGGCCCTCCTGGTGGCTGAGAGCTCCTGGGCTGAGACCACATCTCCGTTCCTACGTAGCAGTGCTGACAAGCCTTGTTTCCTGCAGCCACACTGGGGAGAAGCCCTTCCAGTGCATTGCCTGCGGCCGTGCCTTTGCCCAGAAGTCCAATGTCAAGAAACACATGCAGACTCACAAGGTGTGGCCTCCAGGGCGCAGTGGTGGTACCGTCTCTCGCAACTCTGTGACCGTACAGGTCATGGCCCTGAACCCCAGCCGGCAGGAGGATGAGGAAAGCACAGGTGGGCTGAAGGAGGGAACACCATTCTTGCCACACCTCTCTTCTGCAGCTTCAAAGGTTTTGTTGCTGTGTGACCTGGAGCAACTTCCTTGACCTCTGGGCTTCAGTCTACTTCATTTAGAAAAAGGGCCATGAGATGAAAGGAGGCATGACAAATATGCCATAGGTGTGGTGTTACTATAATGTTGAACCTATGACAGACATCACTAATCAATCACCTATCCTTTTTGCCAAACTTGGATGCTGCCTCACAATCTCTTTTCAGTATATTGCTCTAGGCAGTCACTCTCAGCTGATCGGAAGTTGAAATCTATTTGGCCTCTATGGGCAGATGATCTCCAAAGCTCTTCATAGTTTGTGAAATTGTCATCAAAGCCATCACTTGTTTCTGAGCATTTTCCCTAGTATTAGTTTAATATTAATATTTAATATTTAATATTAGTTTAAAATGCCTTTCCCCTAGTATTAATTAGAGCTGCCCTGTCCAATACAAAATACATGAGCAACATATGCCATTTAAAATGTTCTAAAATAGTAAAAAAGATGAAATTAATGTTAATCATATATTTTATTTAATCCAAGCATGTCATATAAAGAAATTACTAATGAGATCTTTTATATTCTTTTGTTACGTGCTAAGTTTCCACAATCCAGGATGTATTTACATTTATAGCATGTCTGGGTTTGGACCAGCCACATCAGAGTTCTCAGTGGCCACATGTGGCTTGTGGCCCCTGTGTTGACAGTGTAAGGCTGGGGCTTCCCTGTGCAGCCCCGCAGGTGAGCTGCGCCTTCCACTCACCAGCTGACGAAGGCAGTGTTTTGCTGCACAAACAACACATGGCCACTTTCGTATCACCTCCATGTTGGAACTAGCCCTACTATGTATTTATCCATTCTGTGTGTGCACCCTGAGCCTTTAGGAGTTCCTTGGGGAAGAAACCATTTTTTCCATTTCCTTTGAAACTCCTGCAGTGCCTAGCTCCAAGGGTTCAACTGTTTAGCAAACATTTATGGAGGCCTACTACATGCTAGGCCTCTGCCTTCAGGGAATGTGAGGGAAAGACAGCTAAACAAATGACTGTAATTAGGACAAGGAGCTGAGGAGGCATGCTGGTACAGCTAGGAGTGGTGGTCAGGATTTTTAACCAACATGGGGAGGCCTAGAGTGTCTAAGGGGAAGGCCAGGGAGGGGAGACTTGAGGCAGTAGCTATTCATCAGTCAGAATGTAAGTATTTCGGTACTGTAGCACCTGGGAGCATGGCATCAGTACACACCAGATGACTGTGAGTGCAGTGCCTGGCGTGGTGGGGGGTGTACACAGGAAACACGTAGAAAGTGTTCTGTGCGTCCTTCCTGAATGGTGTGGCTCTCTGCTGACCTCTTCCTCTGCTCTTCTCAGTGACTTCTCTCCCTGACTTTATCTGCAGGGATGGGCCAGACGCTGTCGAGTGCCCCACAGCCCCCGGCTTTGCCCACAGCAGGTGAGGATGAGGGGGACAAGCTGGAGGCCAAGCAGGTGGTCCTCATTGATAGCTCCTACCTGTGCCAGTTCTGCCCCAGCAAGTTCAGCACATACTTCCAGCTCAAGTCCCACATGACCCAGCATAAGAATGAGCAGGTAGGTGGCTAGTGGGCAGTCAGTGTGGGGCACTTCCATCCTAATCCTGAGTCTTGGCTGGTGCTGGGATCTTGAACATGGCTGAGAAGGGGACAAGAGCAGGCTTCTTTTGGTCTGAGCTGCTGTCTGACTACTCATGATGGGCCAAGCTTCCCCCTCTACTCTGCCTGGGTGGGACCAGCTTACTGGGCCATTACGGTGCTGAGGGAGGAAGCCCACCTTTCAAGGGTCGTATAAAGAAGGAATCAGAGACAGGTAAAATTCTTTCATTGATTGATTGATTGATTGACTGACTAATTTGAGAGAGAGAAACATTAATTTGTTGTTCCACTTATTTATGCATTCATTAATTGCTTCTTGTATATGCCCTGACTGGGAATTGAACTTGCATCCTTGGTGTACCAGCGTTCTACGCTTAGTGTACCAACATTCTAACCAACTGAGCTACCTGGCCAGGTAAAGAAAAATTCTTAATACCCTGAGCAGATCTAATGTCTAAAAACCTACCTATGCAGATTCAGGATTACAATCTTTTTTCTTTTCTTTTTTTAAATAAAGATTTTATTTATTTATTTTTAGAGAGAATGGATGGGAGGGAGATAGAAAGAGAGAGAAACATCAGTGTGTGGTTGCCTCTCACACACCCCCTACTGGGGACCTGGCCTGCAAACCAGGCATATGCTCTGACTGGGAATCAAACCTATAACCCTTTGCTTCGCAGTCCGGTGCTCAATCCACTGAGCCACACCACCCAGGGTTTTTCTCTTAAATTGAGATATAATTCACATACCATAAAATTCACCCTTTTTTTTTAAGATTTTATTTATTTATTTTTAGAGAGGGAAGGGAGGGAGATAGAGAGACAGAGAGAAACATCAATGTGCGGTTGCTAGGGGTCATGGCCTGCAACCCAGGCATGTGCTCTGACTGGGAATCGAACCTGCAACACTTTGGTTTGCAGCCCGAGCTCAATCCACTGAGCTACGCCAGCCAGGGCTGCAAATTCACCCTTTTAAAAGAGTACACTTTAGTGGCTTCAATATATGCATAAGGTTGTGCGGCCATCACCACTAATTCCAGAACATTTTCATCACCCTAAAATGAAACCCTGTACCTGTTAGCAGTCACCCTCTGCCCCAAGTCCCCGGTAACCACTCATCTACTTTCTGTCTCTATGGATTTGCCTATACTGGACATTTAATATAAATGGAATCATATATGGCTTTTTGAGATCATTTAAGGTTTTATTTATTTATAGAGAGAGGGGAAGGGAGGGAGAAACAGAGGGAGAGAAACATCTATTGGTTGCCTCTCATATACGCCCCAACCCAGTGGGAACCAAACCCGTAACCCAGGCATGTGTCCTGACTGGGAATTGAACCAGTAACCCTTCGCTTTGCAGGACAATGCCCAACCAACTGAGCCACACTGGTCAGGGCTTGAGATAATGTTTTTAAGTTTCATCCATATTGTAACAAGTACAAGTATTTTATTGCTCTTTATGGCAGAATAATATTCTGTGGTATGGATATAGCACATTTTGTTTATCCTTTCATCAGGTAATGGACATTTGGATTATTTTTATTCTTTGGCTTTTGTGAATAATGCTATTATGGACATTGGTGTACAAGTAATTGTATGAGCATATATTTTCAATTCTCTTGGGTATAAACCTAGAAGAGAAATTGCTGGGTTATATGGTAACTCTATTCCAGTGTTTATTTTTTACAATAACTTTTATTTCTTCTTATAAAGGTATCATGTACCCAATATAGAATTAGAAAATTCCAAAAAGTCTAAATAGTGTATAGGTTAATGTTTACTATTTATTATATATTGGGCACCCTGCTAAATGCTTTACATTCAATATTTTATTTACACCTCATAGCAACCTTAGAAGTAAGCATTTTCAGTACATCCAGAGACCCTCACTGCTCTATAATCACTGAGAATCACATTGTCCCATAAGTGACTGAGTCAGGGTTCAAAGCCAGGTTCATTTGACCCCAAACCCCACAACATTAACCACCTTGCAATGTATTCTCCCAAGAATGCAATACAAAATCTAGTGTATTTTGCAGAGTGTCTGCAGTTTTTAAAACTTATAATTAGGATCTACATACACATATAATTTTGAATTGTGGTGGTTTTTTTTTTAAGATTTAATCTATTTATTTTTAGAGAGGGAGAGAGAAGGAGAAAGAGAAGGAGAGAAACATCTATGTGTGGTTGCTTCTTGTGCATCCCCTACTGGGCACCTTGCCCACAACCCAGGCATGTGCCCTAGACTGGGAATCGAACCAGTGACCCTTTGGTTTGCAGGCTGGCACTCAATCCACTGAGCCACACCAGCCAGGGTGAATTTGGGGCTGGGGGTTTGAGATAACTTTTTTTCCAGTTTTTTATTTTTAAAGAAATATATATTCACACAAAGTTGCAATGATAGTACAGAGAAGTCCCTACACCCTTCAGTTAGTTTCCCTCAGTGGTTGTATGTCACATAACTACAGCACAATGTCAAAACTGGGAAACTGACATCAGTATAAAGGGCCTCCATAGTTCTGTGTCATTTTACCAGCTCCATAGGTTTGTGTAGCCACCACTGCAGTCACACTAGAGAATTATTTTGTCACCATAGAGATCTCCCTTGTGCTGCTCCTTATTAGACACACATCCTTCTCCTCCGGAAACCACTGATCAGTTATCTGTCTTTATAAGTTTGTCATTTTGAGAATGTTGTATAGATGGAGTCATCTGGTATGTGGCCTTTTGAGATTGACCTTTTTGACTCAGCATAAATTCTCTTGAGATTTGTGCTTTCAATTTTTTAACCTAATTTTATATTCTGAGTATTTCCTCACATCATTATGTTTTTTGAAGGACAATTTTTATGACTTTTATGCACAGAAAACTCAACAGTATACACTTAGCCAGTTTGGGGGCCAGTTCTTTAGCCTTTGCCATTTCCAGCTTGGCGATGTGAGCCGCTGACTTGGACCCAGCACCTTGCCTTCCCAGTGGCAATGGGTCTCTTCATATCTGTCATCGTGATTGGTCCAGATCACTTCCACCAGCTTAGCTAGAACTCCTTTGTCTTCCAAGTTAAGCCACATGAGGGTGACGGTGGTGCAGGTCTTCCTGTGGACTGGTGAAGTGTGGGTCACCGGCCAGCAGTGATCACGGAACGCTGCAGATGGCTCGTCGAAACTCGAGAAAAAACATGCACAGAGACAGACCAGTTTCTGTGGAGAAATAGAGACGGAACAGCCACCCCCTCTAGTGTGGAGCATGCCGATTTACTGTCTAAACCAGCTTTTACTGGGTTCGTTTTGCATAAGAATTCAGGTAAAGCACATTACTCATTGTGAGGAAGTAAGGATCAAACGATAGGTAGCAAGGAACTCTGATGGTCTATTTTGAGTCAGGGTTGAAGAGCTGTAAGACTTTAAGGAACAAACTAACTTCCTCCTTGGACCCTTCTTATTCAACTGAGAGCATTCTAAACAAAGAAGATTCCATAGGAATTTACATGTTCTTTCTTAGGCCTGATCACCCGGGGAATACGCCCTTTCCAGCATAGGGTGGCACCACCCTGTCGTTGTTTCAGGCTTAGGTGGAGCAAGGGAAGTAAGGCAGCCAAGAGATTAAGAGATTTTCTTGCAGAGCAGGAGGACTCGGGCTTTGTCAAAGCCAAAGGGCGAGAGTCCATCACCCCCTTTTGCCATAGCCCCCAAAGTCCTTTTGGGGGCCTCCCACGTGATTGTGCCTGTCTTAGATTGTCCCCCCCTTGGGGAATCTTACCCATCATTAGCTAACCGACCAAGCATTGGGGTTCAGGCAGGGTGAGGTATGAAGGAGCAGAAGCAGCGCTCCTGTCAGGGAGATAAGCTTGTCTCCTTGCTGGCTTACAGTTCCAAGGGTGTTCCCTTAGCCTTAGCCTAGGCAGGGGTTACAGCTTCTGATACCAGGCAGGGCGGTTCCCAACAAACTGGCTCCCTCTTCCCCTTGATAATGCGATAGGGAACCCCCATCTTATGGCACAGGGCAGGCAGGATGACGACCAGCTTAATGGATTCCACGTCATGTGCTGTCATTACCAGCTGAGCCTTCTTGTTCTCCACCAAGGTGGTGACAGTGTTAACCCCTGCTCAAAGATTTCTCTCACATCACAAGTCCTGCTCAAAGGATAGGAGGCCTCTTGGGAGGGAACATCCCTTTGCCGGCAGCTTTTTTCTCAGCCTGGGCCACCATTCTGTGCGTCTTCTCTTGCTTTGTCTCTGGCCCGTGCTCGTGGGAGCTTCAGCAGTGAGCAGCTGTTTGGTGGTCCAAGGCCCAGGTGAACTGGTTAATGGCAGGAGGCACTTTCAGACATGTGTAGAGAATAGCCCTTTGCCACTGCAGCTGAATGTAGCTGGGCCGTTTGAGAAAGTGGGCGAGGTCCCTTTTGAGCTGGATGTCCTCTCCAGTGCCAAAATTCCTAGGCTTTTTCTTAAACAGGGGATTTACCACCTTCTTGGCCTCCTGTTTTACAACAGCAGGGGCTGGTGCCACCTTCTTCCCCTTAGCCTTCTTTTCTTTCAGCATCTTAGGTGGCAGGAGAAAAGACAAAGAAAAGGGAATTGTGGGAAATATGGATCTCAAATCACTGTTTTTAAAAACATAGGTTTAATGGTTACGTAAAATCTCCTATTGCTGAACATGTAGATTATTTCTTGAGTTTTCCTATTATAAACAAAACCACAGTGAGATCATTGTAATCAAATCTTGGTCCACATCTCTGATTTTTTTCATTATGATCGATTCCTAGCAGAGGGGTTGATAGAAGTTAATAGGATATCCTTGGGGCACATTGTAGAAAACCTTGACCCAAACTGGCTAAGACAATTAGGAAGCTTGTCATCTCACATAACAGGAAAACTCATGATAAGGCAGTTCCAGGCCTGAAATAGTGGACAACCCCGTATCAAGGACCTTGTGTCTTTTCAGTTCATCTCTACCTTCTCTGCCACATGGCCCTGTTCCCTATCAGTGGCTCACCTGTGGTCCTGGAATGGTGGCCACTCTTTTTTGGTCCAGGCACAGTCTTATCCATGAACAAAAGGGGCTATCTTTTCTGTGTCTTTTTTTAGGAGCAAGGAAACCTTTCCTTGAAGGTCTCTTATTGGTCAGAGCCAGTGCATGTGCTGTGTCCTTTAGGAATGCATTATTCTGCTGCAAATAATAGAAAACTGGCTTACTAGTTAGAGCTTTGTTTCTCTCACATCACAAGTCCATAAGTAGGCAGTGTCAGGCTTATGTAGCAGGTCAGATATGTTATCATGGACTCAGGCCTCTTCTGGCATTCTGTTCTGCTATTCTTAGCTTGTGGCTTTCATTCTCAAGATTGCAGGATGATTACTGTATCTCCAGCCATCACATCTGTAGTCCAGTCAGGACAAATGCAAAAGGCAGAGGATATTTCTCCTAGGGAGCTTTTTTGCCCTTTTGTTCTGGGAATAATGTCTTCCCTCAAGGCTACCACCTACATATCACTGGTAAGAAAGGAGTCACATGGCTGACACAAGATGCAAGGGAGCCAGGGAAATGAGATCAGATGTTTTAACTGGGCATGTTGCCAGCCCGATCAAATCATGGTTCACTTCGTTAGGAAGAAGGAGTATGTGGAATTGTGTAGGCAACCAGGAGTTTGTACCGCTTGTCAAAGTATAACTTTCAAAATGTTAAAAACATAATTCGCATGTAAATAACATAGTGAGCATGAGTCAGAATTTTACATGACTCATAATGAGGGAACTGGAAGTATGACAAAGTCAGTTCAAGAGAGGTTATGAGACACTGATATTCATACCTATATGCAATTGTCAGGGAGAAGAGGAATCCTGAAATAAGCTTGTTAAGTTAGATATGAATCTGATTGATTGCCCACAGGGCAACAAAACCTGTGACCTCTGGAGTTATCTTTCCTATCTGACAAAAATCATTTACATCAGATCAGTTTAATACAAGTTAATATTTAATGTTAGAGTCTGGATTCTAATCAGTGGGAAATCAGTGGGAAAAAACAATGTGTATGACCCCAGAGAGTGAGATCACCTAGGCAGGCTCACTAGCAGTTCTCAGAGTGAGGTCTCTGGACCAGCATCTCCTGGGCGTTTGTTAGGATGCACGTGTTCAGGCTGCCAGGCCTGCTGAATCAGATACTCTGCGGGTGTGCCCAGCAATCTGTAACTATCACGTGTCCTCAAGTTGGAGAGCCACTACTCTAGTATGACACTGGAAGGACACGATGTCATCTTTTTACTGTATTTTCAGATTTGGGTAATTTTTCTAAATATACCCAGGCCACACAGAGCCTGGGGAAAGGGTGGTGGGGTCACTGTGACTGGCTGATTGGAGAGGACCCTCCAATCAGAATAAAACAGGGCTCCAGCACAGGGTAGCAGGGGAACAGAGGGAGGGTCATTCAGCAGCAGTGTTCCAGGCAGATGCCATAGGGCAGGGGGCGGCAGTGGAGGCAGCTCTCCTGCCTCCCCTCACCTGCCCCACGTCTGCCGTCAAGGTGTACAAGTGTGTGGTCAAAAGCTGCGCCCAGACGTTCCCGAAGCTCGACACGTTCCTGGAGCACATCAAGAGCCACCAGGAGGAGTTGAGCTACCGCTGCCATCTCTGCGGCAAGGACTTTCCCTCGCTGTACGACCTGGGCGTGCACCAGTACTCCCACAGCCTCCTGCCACAGCACAGCCCCAAGAAGGACAGCACAGTCTACAAGTACGTGTCCTCCCACTTCCTCTCCCACAGGGAGCCCAGCGGCCTGTGGCCTCAGGGTCCCGCCTGGCAGAGTAGGTTCTGAGCCTTGGCACACGTGGGAGCAAAGATGCTGCCCTCCTTGTAGCATTCTTCAACTTGGCAGATATTTACCCTAAAAAAAATCCTAACAAAGGGAAACCGGTCTTTCCTTGTAATAGTGGGAAAGAGATTTGGGTTTTTTCTATTAATATACTAAAAATATGAAACTATTATTTTGTCTGATAATCTATAAAATTTAGGTTACAGTTGGAATGGTACACAGATTTTCAGAATGAAAAAAGAAAAAGCATATTTGAAAGCAAAAGTCATAAAAATAAGATTTTTTTTTAATAACTCGTAAAGTTTAGGTTAAAGTTCAAGCTGTATGCTGATTCTTGAAATGAACAAGGAATGCATCAAGTGTAGGTTTGATTTGGGGTCATTTTTTCTGACAGTCCCTTACGTCACCTTGGTTTTCTGTTACAGTCATAAAGAGGGCCCCTTTGACAGATATGACGGAGGGTTCCCTCAGTTTTGCCACATGCCCTTAATCCTGAGATCCTCAAATCATTCACTTTGGAGCTATCATTCTTATGATCAGCCTTTTGACTTTCTCTTCCTCAGTTGTTTTCCAGCCTCTCCTCCAGACTCTCCTTTGTTGATGGTGTTATTTGTAGATACCCAACATCACTTTGGTAACTTTGTGAAATCTTGCATTTTTGCCCTGCAGTCATTTTGCTGGGCATTTGTCCTGTGTTGCCACCACCTCACAAAGCCCAGCCCATAGTGTGTAGGGGTAGATCTTAGTGAAAAGCAAGAATTTGTTTGAGGACTCCTTCTAGTCATTAGCGACTATTTTCATGTTAAATGGCTTTTGCTTCTTTTATAAATTTGTAGCTGCAGGTACTTGGCTGATGACCTCTGTTAAGGGGCACCACTGCAATTCCTCAGTGAACTTCTGAGGTTCAGAGATAAGTAAATAGAGACCTTGAGTTTAGAATGCATGGGCTGCTTAGGGAGACAAATGTGCAACTATTTTTACCATATACTGTGATAAAATACTATTACAGATATATACATGCATGTCTCTAATATATGTGTGTATATGGTATAGAAGCACTACAGTGGGAGGTATCTGAACTGGGTTTTGAAGGATGAGTAGGAGTACACCAGGTTGGCAGTGGGTAGGGTGGAGTGCATTCCTAGCAGGAAGACCAACAACTACAGAGATATAAAATAAAATAGCAGTGGTTTAGAATGACTATTGGTGTACAGTAGAAGTGGGAAATGATATTTAGATGAGGGCTAAGGGAGAAAGTGGGACCAAGGCATGAGGGTCTTGTAGAAATCACAAGAGCTTTGAGAAGTTGGCAGGGGGACTAGGGCTCATGAAATGGGGTATAGGGCACCTGGCCCTGGGGGAGATTGCGAAATGGGGCCAGAGAGACAGGAAATCCAGGTGAGGCTTTTATCAGCCAAGGGGATAGAGATTTGTACTCAGAGGACATTTGCTTTTGCTCTTCCAACCTGTGGATTATCTGTAAGTTCCTTTGGTTGTGTGGCCCTCTGGACTGAGACACCAAGTAAAAGAAACGGAGCACCTACTATGTGCCAAGCTGCAACTTAGGTATATTAATTTCTGTAGTCCTGGGAGGTAGGTTGTATTAGTCAGCTCGGGCTGCTATAACAAAATGCTATAGGCACATGAGAGAGACAGGGGTCGGGGTGCCTTATCTCTCTGGTCTTTTCTTATAAGAATGCTAATGTCATCATGAGGACCCCATGCTCATGATGTCATCTAACCCTGATCACCTCCCAAAGGCCCCATGTCCAAATACCATTACACTGAGGGTCAGGACTTCAGGGCTTCAATATATGAATTTTGGAGGGACACAGCTCACTCCATAGTAGTGTTCCCCACATTTTGAATATGAGAACACTGAGGCTCAGATGGGAGAAGCGACCTGTCCACAACATCAGCACTGATTCAAACTCTTGTCCAGGACCTTGGAAGTTTCAGAGCTTTGGTCTTGGAGTTTGCAGGCTGCGGGCTGGGCCCAATGCTGATGGCCCTGTGCCTGCAGTCAATCACTTCTCTTGCTGTCAAAGCTGTTGGCTCAAAAGTAAGGTGCAGGAGGCAGGCCACTGTCCAGGTGGCATAAGGGTGAAGTGGTGTCATGATAATGATAAGGGCTCTGAGCCACCTGCCTGTGCTCAAATCTCAGCTTGACTGCAAACCTGATAGATGACCTTGGTAAGGCATTCAACCACTCTGAGCCTTAGTCTTCTATTCTGTGAAATGAGGGTATGATGGTGCCTGCTCACTTGGATTATTCATTAGGATCAAGGAAGATGAGTATGAGACACTTACACATGACCTGGAACATAACAGGAGCTCAGTAATTTTTAAAATTTAGATACGGGCCTGGTGGCTTCGTCCCATTTTCAGGGGCCCAGGCCCCATTGGTCTGCCTGCTCTGCTTTGGGCCACATTGCCTTGGCTGCCTGCAGTGCCTCCCCAAACCCTGCAAGTTAAATTTGTGCTTGCCACTGGTATGTTGCTGTATATTTACTGTTTCCTTTTAGAAGTAAGATTTGTTGGTTTTTTTCTAATTACAAAATTCATGTTCAATGCAGAGAAAATAATTTTTTTAAAAACCATACAAAAACCAAAAACAAAACTCTGTCACCCAAGATAACGCCCATTACCCTTGTGGTACATATCTGTAATAAGCATGTTTATAGATGTGGATATAGATATCACAGGTGATGTTGAGTCAGAGCATCGCAAACACAGTCACCGAATTTGGTGAAAATTTATCACACCACCTTCCTATTGCGCAACTTCTGACCAACAGACTGAAACTTAATAGGATCACTCTGCACACTTGATGTTGTCACTTAAAACTTTTACACGTAAAACTGTAATATGAATGTCTTTGCATTTCAGCACAAAGAGACCTGCCTCATCCCTTTAAACAGCTGCTTAGTATTCCATTATATGAGGATGTGATATAATTTACTGAACCTGTCCCCTCTTTATTGTGGGCTGGTTGGGTTATTGCCAATTTGTCATTATTACAAACAACACTACAGGGAACAACCTCAGACATACATCTTCATGCATTTGTGAGCAAGTTCCTGGTAGCAATTTTGCAGGTCAAAGAACAAAGGCGGGTTTAAAAACAATTAATTATCTACCACAAAAAATAATTGTTACATACATACAGTGCAATATTTAAAAACTACAAAAAGGCATAGAGTGAAAAGGAATTCCCTGTCTATCCTGATTGACTTCCCCATTCCACACACAGTTGCTTTCAGGAATTCTTTTTCAACTTATTTTGACATAATTTCAGACTTCCAGAGAAGTTATCAGAATAGTACAAAGAATTCCCACAGATACTCTTCACCCAGGCTTGCCAAATGTTAACTTTTTATGACACTTGCTTTATCCTCTTCTGAGCCACTTGGGAAGGGTTTGCCAACATGATGCTCTTCTACCCTTTCTTTGGTGTGTGTTCTCTAGAAAACAAGGATAACCTCTTGTACAGGCATGGTGTAGTTATGAAACTCAGGAAGTTAAATCAATACACTTCTATTATCTAACCTACAGACCTTACTAAAAAATTTCCAATCGTTCCAATAACATCCTTTATAGACAAAGAAAAAATTTTTTTCTGTCCCAGGATCCAATCCAGGATCACACATTTCATTCAGTCGTCATGTCTCCTTGTCTCCTCGAAGCTGGAACAGGTCCTCATTCTGTCTTTGTCTTTCATGACCTTGATATTTCTGAAGAGTATAGATAGGCCAGTTATTTTGTGGAATGCCCTTGGTTTGGATTTGTCTAGATCCAAGATGGGTACTTTCGGCAGGAATATGACAAGGTGATGCTGTGCCCTTCTCAGTGCATTATATCAGGAGGTACATGATGTTGGCTTACCCCATTCTGGAGGTGTTACCTTGGATGACTTAGTTAGGGTGATGTTTCTGGCAGGGAGTTTTAATTTTAGTGGTTATTGCTAAGCTACTTCCCACACAAACCTATGTCTCCTCACCGCTGAAGCTGGTGTGATTCTTGTGCTCTCTTCCCACCAGCTTGGAGGTTCCTGCCCTTCTGGTAGCTCTCTTCCCACCCCACCTCCTCTTTCCTTCTTGCTGCGGAGGCATGTAGACTGTTTTCAGCGTGTGGTCTGAGAGGGTCCTCTGGGCCCTCCACAGGTGCAGCCTGCCTGCGGTTCCCGTGGTGGCCTGGTATGCAGATGGCAGGGCCCATGTTTTTGTTTTTGGCAGGAATTGCCTGCTTACCTTAGGCATTACTCACTGGTACTGCATCATAAATGGGTTTATTTGCTGGCAAATGTTTTCATGGTGGGGAGACAATGGGGTCCTCTTCAGGTTTGTGGCTTGAAACTGCTCTTTTGAAGGCATGTTAGCCACAGTGATATAAAGACTGTTGACAGTCAAGACTGTGCTTTGCGATTTACGAGCTGTTTGGCCCCGTCGTGTCCTTCGGCTCCAGGACACTCTTAAGAATGAATGCCAGGCAGGTCCATTTGGGATTCCCACCCCATTTTATGGGTGAGGAAACTGAGGGTCACAGATGGGAAAGAACCAGGCCTGGATCCTTGTCTGTCTGACTCTTTCATGTGACAGGTTGTCATTGGTGTTCAGAGCAGTTTGTGAAGAGGACAGATATGGCCCCTGTCTGCAGAGCTCACTTTCTGGTAGAGGAGACAGATAATACTTGAGTAAACAAACAAACAAAATAATTCCGGGTAATATATGCTAAGAAGAAACTAAATCTGGGTGACGTAATAGGAAGGGGATTGGGCAGAAGGGAGCAACTTGAGACAGGGTGGTCAGGGAGGGCCTCTCTGAGGAGGTGACATTTGAGCTGAGACCTGAAGGATAAGATGCTGCCCAGAGGAAGACTTGGGGAAGAGTGTTCCCAATCGTAGAGACAGCAAGTACAGAGGCCCTGAAGGGGGATCTGGCTTGGTGTGTTTGAGTTACGTTAAGGAGGCCAGTGTGGCGAGAGCAGAGTGAGTGAGCTGGGCGGTGGATAAAGATGAAGTTTGAGAGGTAGAAGTAGATCAGGCAGTAGGGCCTTTCAACCAAGGTGTGGGCTTTTATGTAAGAGTGTGACATGGTCTAATTTTGATTTTTTAAAAATCTTTTTTAAAGATTTTATTTATTTAGTTTCAGAGAGAGGGGAGGGAAGGAGAAAGAGAGGGAGAGAAACACCGATGTGTAAAGGGAAACAGTCGGTTGCCTCTCACATGTGCCCAACCAGGGACCTGGCCCACAACCCAGACACGTGCCCTGACTGGGAATCAAACCAGCAACCTTTCAGTTCACAGGCTGGCACTCAATCCACTGAGCCACACCAGCCAGGGATAATTTTGATGTTTAAAAGCACTACTGGCTCCCCTGTGGGAATGGTGGGTGAGGGAGGGAGGCCAGTGAGGAGGCTACTACATATGTCCCTGTGAGAGAGAATGGCAGCTTGGACTAGGATGGAGACAGTGGTTAGTGAGGAGTAGACTAATTTGAGAATGAATTAAACACAGGATTTTTCCACCTAATGTTGACCCTGGGGGAGGGGAGGGGCTGATTCCTGGGCCTACTGGGCTGGTCCAGCTCCACTCTACTCTCTCACTTCTCCTGCTCCTTCCCACTTAGATGTGTCAAATGTGTCAACAAATACTCTACCCCTGAGGCCCTGGAACACCACCTGCAGACCGCCACTCACAACTTCCCTTGCCCGCACTGCCAAAAGGTGGGTACACCTGTGACAAAAATGGGCTAGAGGTGGTGGAGTGAAAACCTCACTGTTTCCTTCCCCCCATGCAGGCAAAGCTTGGGGTTGTGTCCACAGATGACACTTCATCTTTGAGGAGTAAATGCTCTGCCTGGTCCGTGCATGGCCACCTGCGGCTGCTGCTGGGCTGGGCTGTGCCTCGCTGGGCTGACATGGAATGTCTCCTAGGCCCAGGCCCAGCGTCTGAACAGCAACCATCAGTTTCTTGATGTGTTATTATCCTTGTGATTATTGGTTCTTTTTAGCAAATCTGGACAGCCTCAATGAGGCCTGTCCCTCAGTATCATCAAATATCCAGGCTATATTCCTATTTCCAATGGTCTCAAAAAAATCATAATTTTTGTGAAGTTTGTTTGCTTGAATCAGGTCTGCATATTGTAGTTGGCTGATATCAACAAAATTTCTTTTAATATATAGGTTCCCCACACCACTGATCCCTTTTTCCCTCTTTTTTTTTTCTTTTGTTCTCTGGACTTTCCTGAAATCTGGATTTTGTTGATTGTAGCCCCTGGGTGTTTAACCTATTTCTTTATTCTACTCATTTTCTCACAACCTTACACAGCAGATTTTCCAGGACAGCCCTGGTTTCACTTCAGCCTCGTTGTAGATGTTTCTAATTGTATAGTTTAATTTTGAGGTTTGGAATTTGTGGTCCAAGTAAAAGGTATCATGACTTGAGCAAGAACCATGTGCCAGATGCTGTTCTGAGTACTTTACATAGATTGACTCATTTAACCCTAGGAGACAGGCATGCTTTAACTTTTCCATTTTCTGGATGGGAAACCAAGGCACAGAAAGGTCACCCAGTAGGGCGTGGTAGGGCTGGTTAGTGGTGGGGCAGTTGGGTCTGTGCCCTTGGCCACTTCTCTATACCACATGAATAAAAAAAAGGAATGGCTCCTGTGTTTTCTGGCTATCACCTTTTCTTTCATTTCTTTAGTTATTCACATTTTTCATTTATTCTTTTACTTGTCGGTCATGTGACTCAGGCCCTGTGCTGGGGAATGAAAGCCTCTTTCTGTCCTCTTGGAGATCCTGTATAGGCAAAGGGCTGTAATTCAGTGGGTTAAATGCTGACTTTAAAAATGTGGGTTTGTATTCAAGGGCCGAATTTGCTTTGCCTAGTGTGGCAATGTGGAGTCAGAGAGGGCTTCTCAGAAGCAGTGACATCTAAGATGGGTCTTGAGGATGAGTAGGAGTTTGTCAGGCTAAGAGAGAAAGGCCCTCTGGGTAGGAAAACTGCCTCGGCAGAAGCTCAGAGCAGGCATGTTTTGACTGGGCTTATGGCTGAGTAATGGGAGTTGTGATGGTCTAAGGGCTGTGCCTGACATTGAGGGCCCTGACCCCTAGTGAGCAGAAAAGAAGTTGTTTCCATAAGGGAAGGCGGGCAATGCAGGGCCCCTTGAGCTCAGGGTGGCAAGGGCTGGAGAGTCAGACCTGAAACCGACTCCTTTCTTCTGCCAGGTGTTTACTTGCGAACGCTACCTGCGGCGTCACCTGCCCACACATGGCAGTGGGGGCAGGTTCAAGTGTCAGGTGTGTAAGAAGTTCTTCCGGCGGGAGCACTACCTCAAACTGCATGCTCACATCCACTCAGGTGGGTACCCAGCTCCCCACCAACTCCTGCCTCCTTCTCCTCCCCCATCCCCAACCCCTTCTTTGTTCTCCTTCCCATCCCTCTCTGGCTTTCCTCCCTATCTCCCTTTTGCCCTCTTCCCCATCCATCTCCTGCCCCCTTTTCCTCCCATCTCCCCCTTGGCCCCCTACCAACCTGCCCTCTCAAGTGACCGAGGGGCTCCTACCAACACTAGAGCAGAGATCAGCCCCCAGAAGCTGTGGGGTCCTTTTGGCTCTGCCCCTTGAGAGTCCGCTCTCTCAGACCCTTGTGAGTCCCTGGGCTTGGGGCTGCTTTTCTCACCACCGAAGTAGCACTCACATCTGCCCCAAACCCCTTCTCTTCGGTTCCTCAGTCCAGACACATTGGTTTTTAAAAATCTTTATAATGTTTTTTATTAGATGAAAAATTATTGTTTTCTTTTTTATTGAAAAGGATCAAAAGATTGAGAAAACCTTAGGAGAAAATCTTTGACAATACAAAAGCATATATAACAGAAATAAACCCTCCTCTCAGCTCTGATGGACAATCCAAATGTTTCTCAATTTTTTTATACTATGACCTATGGTAAAAAAATACATTTTATATTGCAACTCAGGAAATACATCTATATAGATAGAATATACTGAAACAAAAGTTTCACAAAGCAGTACTTTCTGTTCAGTTTTAGTTGTTAAAATAACCATCAACAGCTTGTGACTCCCAGTTTGTAGTTTGAAAAATACTCCTACCAAAGGCAACAGCTCTTCTCCCCAAAGACAGCAACTATTAGCGGCACAGCCTGTGTCATTCCAGTTTTATTTCCATAAAAAATATTTGCTTACTTTTACACAAATGAGCATGTCATATAATTCTGTCATATACCTTTTTTCTTCACTTTTCAATGTACCTTGAAGATGTTCCTTTATAGCACTTTTTTTTTCAGCTTCATAGTATTCTTCTGCATTTACCATCTTTTATGTAACCAGTTTCCTATAGATAGACACAAATTATTTTTCGGCTATTAGTTTGTATGCACAGTACTGTGTGGGTCCCTTGGCAAACTCTTGGTAGTATACCCGTAGTGTATATTCCATGCCTAGTAGTGGAAGTGCTGGGTTAAGATGTGTGTGCAGTGCTGAGTTTCAGTTTGGGGCGCTGAAGAAGTCCTGGAGATGAACAGTGGCGATGGTTGCACAACAGTGTGAATGCCGCTGAACTGTACACTTAAAGGTTGTTAAAATGGTAAATTTCATGTTAGGTATATTTTACAATAAAGGGGGAAAAGGGTATATGCATTGGTAATTTTGACAGGTATTACCAAATTATTCTCTTTTAAAAATTATTACTCAAAAGTAATACATGCACCCTGGCTGGTGTGGCTCAGTGGCTTGAGCGTCAGCCTGCGAACCAAAAGGTCGCTGGTTTGCTTCCTGGTCAGGGCACATGCCTGGGTTGCAGGCCACGTCCCCCATCGGGGGCGTGTGAGAGGCAACTGATCGGATTGTCTCACCTGGATGTTTCCCTCTATCTCTTTGTTCCTCCCTTCCCTTTTTTCTAAAAATTAAAAAAGAATAATACATGCTGATTATAAAAAATGGAAGCAGTATAGAAGAAGTACATAATATCAAATGTTCAATTCCCTCTTCAAATCCTAATTGTCATGGACAGTTTGGCATGTACCCTCCCCTGCTCTTCTGTCTGCATATTCTGTGTATGTACAAACATATGTGGCTTGGGCTTTTTTGGAGTGTGGGGACTGTATTTGTTTCTAACAAAAATGGGGACTGTATTAAGCTATTCTGTAGCTTTCTTTTCCCCTTAGCAATATGTCTAGGAGAGCCTTCCAGATCAAGAAACACAGATGATCTTAATCTTTTTAATGACTGTAGAGCATTCCATTGTAAGGACCAGAATTTCCTTCATTGCTGGCTTGAGGATGGCATTTTTCAAAAATACTCTATTTATTCCAGAGGGAGAATGGAGAGGAAATAATGCCAGGAAATCAAAACAGCCCAGTAACAGCTTTTTCCTTAGGGAAGGTTGTGACCCCTGACCCCTGTCAGGTGAGAGCTCCCCCACTCCCAGTGGTTCTGCAGCAGGACAATCTGGGACTACAAAGGCAGACTCTGGATCACACTGTTGGGCTAGAATCTTAGCTCCCCCAACCACTAGATATAGACCATGAACTTCCGTTTTCTCATCTGTAAAGTGGGATAATGATAGTAGTTACCTCATGGTTGGTTAAAAGGATTCAATTAGATAAGATGTAATTACCCCCTCCCCCATGGTGGGCCTCATTTCACCAAATGCCATGACCACCCACCCTATCACTTGGCCTACCTTAGTCTCATCCCAGGTTCTTCCCCTCTTCTTATACCCCATTGGCAAGGGCTGCCAGTTCTGCATTCCAGACATAGCCTGTGCTTGACCTCTTGCCCATTTCTTATACCAGCGTCCTTCCTTTCTGCCCGCTCAGTCTATTCTCTCCATGTAACCAGAGGGAGCCTATAAAACTCCTCAGTCAGATCCCGTCCTTCCTCTGCTCAGCCCCTCTGGTGGCGTCTCAACTGGTTTAGAGTAAAAGCCGAAATCCTTCGTTGGCCTTCTAGGGCCAGGGAGCCTCACTGACCTCATCTTCTGCCTCATTCTCTATCCCCCTACTCAGTTCCAGCCACACTGGCATCCCTATTGTTCCTCAGACACCCTGAGTGCCCCCTCCTTCTGTCTGGGACCCTCACTCCCAGATTTCCACATGGCTTGCTCCCTCATCACCTCAGGTCTCACCTCACATCTTGCCCATCAGTGAGGCCTTTCCTGACCACCCTATCTAAATTGGCTCACTCTCCTTGGCAAAATAAAGTCGTGAGGAATGAGAGTGGCTATTTTCTCTCAGGCCACTTCCCCAGAGGAGCTGCTGCCTTCTAGTAGGAACTCTTGTACCCCACATCCAGGCTCCATCTCATGGGATCCTCATTCCCATTGTCTGCGTCTTCTGCAGGTGAGAAGCCCTACAAATGCTCAGTGTGTGAGTCTGCATTCAACCGCAAAGACAAACTGAAGAGACACATGTTGATCCATGAGCCATTCAAGAAATACAAATGCCCCTTCTCGTGAGTAGAGACTGGCATGGAGGGGGTGCAGGTTTGCCCAGTGGTGGGACAGACCGATGTCAGTCAGGTCTGAGGACTGAAGGCTCTCCTTTTATCCTGTCCCGGGCCCTCCCCGCTGGCTTCACTCCCCACTCTGCTGCTTTGCTTGGCCATTAGGATAGACAACAGGGTCATCATGTTCAGAGCTGGCAGATAGGCCAGCAAGAGGGTCCTGGCCTCACTGAGCACCCCCTGACCAGTGGCTTTGTGTTCTAGGACACACACAGGCTGCAGTAAGGAGTTCAACCGGCCAGATAAGCTAAAGGCTCATATCCTCTCTCACTCTGGTAAGTGGCTCTCGGACCTGCCAGGAGGGTCTGGTTTGGCATAAGCCATCAGGGGCAGGTTCCCCACACACATCCCATGGGGCTTATTATCCCTGTCTGGTACATTCCAGCCAACAGACTTTTGCTCATGTGAGTCACAAGCCAGGCCTATGTTAGAGTCCTTGGGGTGCACAGAGGTGAGTCAGACATAGTCCCCCACACTGAGGGGCAGCTGACCTGAGAGAAGATGACTGTAAACCAGAGAGGTTCCAAGTGTGGTAAAGGTATGGATCAGGCGTGGAGGAAGATCAGTTTCTGACTGGCCCAAGATAAAGCCAGGAAAAATCTCTGGTCCCCTCTGCAGAGCTTGGCAGCTAGGATGTAGATTCAGGGGTCTCCACACCACTCCTCAGTTTCTTGGGAGCTTTACAGAGCTTCCCCAGAGCAGCCTGGCTGCCTTTCCACGTACTGTTTGGTCTAGAACAGGGTTTCTCAACCTTGGCACCGTTGGTTTGGGGGCCAGATAGTTTATTTTCGTAGAGGGCTTCTCTGGGCACTGTGGGATGTTTAGTAGCATCTCTGGCCTCCAACCAGGAGATGTCAGTGGCATCTCCCAAGACATATTTGTGGTAACCAGAAATATCTCCAGAAGACAGGCCACAAGTCTCCTGGGGGATAAAATCACCCCTGGTTGAGAACCACTGCTTTACAGAAAGGATGGCCAAAGAAAGTTTGAAAACTGTGAGAGTAGATCAGGGACTTAGAGACAGAGGGCCTGGGTTTGAGTTTTGGCGCTGCCACTTGCCTTAGGCAAGTCACTGCCCCTCTCTAAGCCAGGGAGGCGAGGGGCCTATGGCTCAGGCTGAGTGTGAGCTAGAATTGACTCCATGTGTGCGTGGAGCCACCAGTGATTTACTCAGTGAGAGACCATTGAGAACCTACCATGTGTGAGGCACTGGGGGAGCTAGGTGGGGAATCAGACAGGCAGAATCCTACCCTGCCCTCCTAGGGAAACTTAGATTTAGCAGCAGAGATTAAAAATGAACAGCAGATAAATAAGTATGTAGCAGCAAAGTATGCTGAGTGCAAAGATGGAGATAAACAGGGTGATGGGGCAGAGAATGGAGAGAGGAGGTGATGTGAAAAGAGCCAGGAGCTGGCTTCCAGGGTGAGGGAGCTGCAGATGCAAAACCTTGAGGCAGGGAAGGGACTGAGGGTGTTTGAGACAAAGAAAGTCAGGAGAGAGAGGCCTGGAGCTCAGTACGAAGCATGGGGAGGAAGGGGATGGTGCTGAGAGGTGAAGAGTGGTCAGCCTGCACAGGGCTTTGTGGGAAACCTGGGTAAAAAGGCTGTGGAGCAGGGAATATCATGATCCTTTATGTGTTTTATGAAGATGTCACTAGCTGCCCTGTAGAGAATGGTCTTAGGGGGCCAGTGTGAGGCGGGCAGACCGGAGAGGAGAGAGATAATGGACCTGGGGTAGTTAGCCAAGATCCGGGAGCTGAACACACTGTTCCAGGCAGAGGGGAACAGCAGGTGCAAAGGCCAGGAAGCAGGAATCAGCTTGATGTGTTTGAGAAGAGCGGGTGTGTGGCTGCCACTGAGTGTCTGGGAGAAGGTGAGAGATGAGACTGGAGGTAGCAGGGCCCAGGTCACACAGATGCTTGTAGGCAAGCCGAGAGACTGGGTATTATTCCAAGTGCAGGTTAAAGGGTTTGGGCGCCTCTCACTGACTTCCCCTCCCAACCAGGCATGAAGCTCCACAAGTGCGCCCTGTGCAGCAAGTCCTTCAGCCGCCGCGCCCATCTCGCTGAGCACCAGCGTGCCCACACGGGCAACTACAAGTTCCGCTGTGCTGGCTGTGCCAAGGGCTTTTCCCGCCACAAATACCTCAAGGATCACCGCTGTCGCCTCGGCCCTCAAAAGGATAAGGACCTGCAAGCCCGGCGACCCTCCCGGAGGAGGTCGGCTCCCCGCAGTGGCAGCAGTGGCGGGCACAAGGTGGTGGCACCCGTGCCTGACCCACTGGGGCTGGAGGAGTTGAAGGACACCGGGGCTGGGCCAGTGCCCGAGGCTGTCCCAGGGAAGCCACCCTTCTCGGAGCCGGATGCCGTGCTGTCCATTGTAGTGGGTGGCACGGTGGGCACCGAACCTGAGCTGGTAGTGCCTGGGCATGCTGAAGGCCTGGGCCCCAACCTGGCACTGGCAGAGCTGCAGGCAGGGGCCGATGGCCCCTGTGCCATGCTTGCTGTGCCTGTCTACATCCAGGCCTCGGAGTGAGGGACCCGTGGTGTCTGCTCCCATGGCCCAGCCTGATGCGCGCCTTTGAGTCTACAGCCTCTGAGGAAGCGAGCTGTCAGCTCAGTGGAAAACCTTTTGGAATGTCACTTATAAACCCTGGCCCATGACCACCCTGCTGTATCCCCTATCCTTCTGGAAAGCTCTGTGGTGTTCTGGGACCTGGGGCAGGGCTGCCTGTGGCTTCCAGGCAGGGGTGATGGCAAGATAGATGGCTGAGCCTGAGTGGCCCAGGGTCTGGCTGGGTCCAGGCTTGCAGTTGGGCTGCCTAACAGAGAAGACAGGGTAGTCCCGCCACCCACTCCGGGCTGCCTTAGGGGAAGCCCGACATGGTCAGGGCCTGTATCTGTTGTACCTTTTTACATAAGGCTCCTCACAGGATCCCCAGATGAATCTGTGATGTAGGCATTTAGGAGGTACTCAAATGTTGTGGTGAGTGTGCAACTATCAGCCCAGTCTGGCTTCAAATCCAAGCGCTGTCACTCACTTGCTGTGTGACCTTGGGTAAGTCACTTCACCTCTCTAAGCCCTGTGTTCCTCATCTGTGCAATGAGGCTTATGACAATACTACCTCATAGGGCTGTCATGAGGATCTGGTCTGATGAAATAAGCAAAGGATTCACATAGTGCCTGGCACTTGAAAAGTGCTCAATAAATATTTTTATCAAAATGTGTATCCGCATGGCTCAAGCCATAGCTTCGGCAGTCCCTATGTGGCAGCGTTCTCCCCACCAAAGTGTGTGGGGGCTAAGGGCTCCATGGACCCTCACGCAGGACTGTGCTACCCCAGTAGCCATGGGGAGGTTTTGTGTTCCCAGAATGACTGTTTCAGAACATAGCCCTTGGAAACACGCAGCAGAAGGAGTTTCTACTCACTTTTGAAAATGCAGGGTCCTGGGCCTCACCCCCAAGCCCTTTGGAATCAGAAACACTGACTAGAGCCAGAGGTCCATCTCGAGCAGGCCTCTGGATGGCCACAGATGCCCCTGCGTCCAGCATTTCCTCCCCCATCCGCCTCCTTCCAGGGGGAAGCAAACCAGGCTCACTGGGAGGGAGGGAGAGAGAGAGAAGGGGCCTTGGCTGAGTTTCTCATTTATTTTCACAACCATCCTTCTGGGCCACACTCCCTCAGTTATAAGAGAGGACACTGAGGCTCAAGACTGAACAGGGTGAGGCATTGGAGAACTGTTGGGCTCAGTTTGATAACTGAGTTTCCTTGAAAGCTGACACATCCCTCTGACATCTGTGCTGGGGCCCTTTGCCACATCCTCAGGAAGGGTAGGATGCAAGGGAGGGACAAGCGAGGCAGCAGTGCACAGCGGAGGGGGTGAGGGTCTTAGTGTACGCTGCCCTCAGAAAAGCTAGGAGAGGGACTGATAGAGACAGGATGTCTCTTTGGAAGAAGTAACATTTGAGCTGGGCCTTCATATGGAGTGTTTTAACTCCTGGGTAGTTAGGGGAAGGCAAGGTATGAGCCATGACTTCGAGTTATGACAGTGCAAGGCCTGTTGTACTCTGGTGCCAGTGAATGGTCCAAGGTGACCAGAGATTTGGACGCAGTGGGTAGATCATGATAATTGCTGTTACATTCAAGTCTCCACGTGGACATATTATGGGCACTATACTAAGTCTTTTATTTCATATTACCTCAGCCCCATTAGGTGAGAATTGCTGCTTTTCTTATTTTACAGATGAGGAAGCAGAGGCACAGAAAGGCAAAGTTCTTTGCCCAAGCTCATACAGCTAGTAAGTCACAGAGCTGGGATTCAGGCTGGGGAGGCTTGTCTCCATGTGCTGTTAGCCACTCTGCTCTGTTGAAATATGGGCTGATACTGAATCAGAGATCCTTGGATGCTGGGTTAAGGAATTTGGACTTTATTCTCTATATAATGGATGAGTCATGGGAGGCATTAAACATTTTAAAAACTTGTGACATTAAAGGAAATGTTAAAAACCACATTTTTATCCTAATACGGCTATTTAAATTATATTTCTGCCTCTTCCTGCCAGTGTACACATGAATGCACATTTACCAGAATCATGAGGATTAACGTTTATTAGGCACTTATGTTATGCGGTGCCTGGCATGTCTTAAACACTTCGAGGTAGGTGATGTTTTTAATCTCATTTTATACCTGAGATGAGGCAACAGGCTCAGTGAGGTTAAGCAACCCCAAGTCATGTGGCAGTTGGTGGCGGAGCCAGGTCACAGAACATATCAAGGTCAGGTCTGACATTTAATAGATGCAGAGTTGGACTACAGGGGAGGAGGCTAAGGCAATTTTGGGGTTCTTGTAGCTGAACCTCTCCTACATTGACAGATGGGGATATTGAGGCCCAAGAGGGGAAGACCCTTAGTGAAGGGTCACTCAGGACCCCAGGGTTTCTTACAGAGCCCCAAGGTACTGGATAGAATGTAGTGTAAATGGGCTGTCCCACAGATTTTAGCATCTGGAAGAGCAGGGTTTGAATCTTGGTTCTGCCCCCTCCTGGCTGTGTGCCTGTGGCAAGGCACTTCATCTCTCTGAACCTCCCTGTCCTCATATGTCAAACGGGGAGAATAAATAGTATCTACCCAAAGAAATTGTCACAGTTCAGAGGGAGAACTCAGGTAAAGTAAAGATCACAAACTGGCAGCTTGTAGGTTGATTCTAGCCTACAGAGAAACTTTGTTTAGTTTTCAGTGTTTTAAAAAATGAGCCAACATTTAAAAATAATGAAATATAAAACCTACTGTAATGGTAAAAAGTGAGATGCATTCTCTTTGTGTTAAGAACAAGACAGGGATGCCTTCTATCATGACACCAACATTATTTTAGAGGCCTAGCCAAAGCAATAAGTCAAGAAAAAGAAGTAAATGGTATAGGGATCAGAAATGGTGAAATAATAGCGAGTATGCTGAAATAATTACAAGATCAATATATAAAAATTTACTGTGTTCCTATATCCAGAAACAATTAGAAAATTTAATTAAAATTGGGAGATTTTACCTAAAAACCTGGATTTCTGACTTCTAAATTTAAAATTGGCGTCTTTCCCAGTGGGGCAGCAGTTAGGTGCAGCTGCTAGCCAGGCCCTTTCAGCGGGCACGTGCATTCCATATGGCCATAGTTATCCTTCACTGCTGCCTCCCATTGTAGCTGAATGCCAATTTCTACTCACTGTACTTATGTCGATTTGTCTTAGAGTAGAGAAGTATTTCTAATTTCCCATGTCCCTCAAAGGTGGGAAAACAAGATGGCTAGAGAGGATCATATGATTTTTCATGGTCTTGGACTACTTTACTCATCCATTTCACTGTCTGGACTTTGTGGGTATATGACTTGGGGATCCCTGTAAGTCCTGCTTCCTTTCCTCCCTTCCCTGTCCAGTCTTCTGTCTGCCTCTGCCTCTCAGCTAGTCGGCCTCAGTTTCTCTACCAATAAATGTGGGGGATTGAGTTGTGGCTAACTTTACTGTCTATTAAGCGCCAAGCCCTGTGTTCCATGCCTTATTTACTCGTCACTGAGTCCTCAGGACGCCCCTCAGAAGCAAGCTGTCTTATTATGCTCAGTTTACAGATGCAGAAACCAAGGCTCAGAGAGGTGTAGTAACCTGCCCAAGGACTCATAGCCAGAATACATGGAGCTGGACTTCAAACCCAGGATTCCAAAGTCCCTGCCTTGTCTTAGGATCGCTAAAGCCCTCACCTGCCCTCGTGAGCTGGGGTTTTATTTGGAACCGCTTCTTTGAGGCTCCAACCCCTGTTCATCTCCTTGGCCACCATTACCCTGTTCAGGCTGCCAACCTCTTTCGCATGGGTGACTGTATCAGCCCTCTCTTTGGCCTCCCTGCTTTCCCTCACCATGATCCATTTTCTTGACAGCAACCCAACAGATCTTTCTAGACCTGAATCAGATTGTGCCACTTTCTGGCTTTTAAAGATTTTTTTAAAAGCCTCTAGTGGCTTTTGATTTCTCCCTGAATGAAATATAAAGTTTTTTTCTGTAGATTTCAAGGTTCCACCTGATGCCGCCCTCATCTGCTACCACTCGTCTCTCATTCCAGCCACACCTGCTGTCTCACTGCTCCTCCATCATATAAGCTGGGTCCTGCCTTAGAGCTTTTGCACTTGCTGTTCCCTCTGTCTACAACTTTTTCCCCCTGGATCTTCATATGGCTGGCTCTCTCACTCCATTCACCTTGGTCCAAAATTCATTCCCTCTGAGAGGCCCTCCAATCTGTCTACAATAGCTCCCATCCCTCCCCCATCACAATCTAATTCCTTATACTGCTTCATTTAAAAAAATATTTTTTTAAAGATTTTATATTAGAGAGGAAGGAAGAAAATATTGATGTGAGAGAGAAACATTCATTGGTTTCTTCTCACAGGCCCCCAGCTAGGGACCTGGCCCGAAACCCAGGCATGTACCCTGAGAGGGAATGGAAACGGTGACCTCTCTGTGTGGCAGGATGACACTCACACTGAGCCACATAGGTCAGGGCTGTTTCATTTCTATTCATCATCCTTGACATTATGTTAGACATTTCTTTATTGTCTCTTTCCCTATTAAAAACAAAAGGTCCACGAGGACAAGGCCTTTTGTTTTGTGCACTGATATTTTTATAGCATCTAGTACTGCCCAGGAATTGCTCGATCAATATTTGTTGAATAAATAATCACTCAACAAGTGACAACAGCACTTTGAGAGAACAAGGCCCACTCTACCCATCCCCTTCTCCAATCCCACAGTGGAGAAGGGTGAGATTTTCCCAGTAAGAACCTGCCATGTAGGCTGAGAAACCCTGACCTAAAGCCCTGGAAGTTAATGTCTGATACAAAGAAAACTTTTAAGAGGGAGCTGAAAATATCTGGGACAAATAACAGAGGCGGTGGCTTGGAAGTCTCAGTTGGCAGAGCAAGTATCCTGTGTGGCCCAGGAGAACAGGTTGGGCCAGTTTTATCTCCCCTGGGGAGGAAGGAGTGGAGGTGGCAGTTACAAGTGACCCAAACCTCAAATCTGCCAGCAAGTGACCCTCAGAGATTCTCAAGCACTTGGAGGGTGGTAGTCAGGGATGTTAGCAGATTCTACCTCTGGATTGGGGGTGACCCCCTACTTGCCCAGGGTGCCTGCTTTAATGGTGAGGCACAGAGCCCTGAGGCAGAGGCAGAGGCCCAACTTTAGTCTTGAAGGCCCTTTGTAGAATCAGAATAAACAGGCCCAAAAAGGAAAGGGTCTTATCCAAGATTCCATCATAGCAAGAATGAGTCCAGACCCACTTTTCCTGCCCCCAAGTCACTTCTACCTCAGTCCATTAATTCATTTTACAAATACTTATTGAGCACCTACTAAATGCTAAGTATAGTTCTGGCCCTGATGATACACTGTGAACCCAACAATGATCTGTGGAGATTCCCCGTGGAGAAGCAGAAGATAAACAACAAAGTAAATAAGCAAATTATATAATATGTTAGAAGGTGATGAGTGTTATAGAAAAAGAGAAAATAGAGGACAGTAGAGGTTTTAGAATGTGGGGTGGGGAGCAAGTTGCAGAATTATATGGAATGGCCTGGGAAGCCTCACTGAGAAGGAAACAGTTGGCTTTCTAGGGCACAGCACCTGCTGTATGGCCTGCACATGCTCTGATGAATGGGTATGGAGTAGGTCCTGTAACCCCCCAGAGCTCAAGTGCAAGGGCCCTTCCAGTGCACAATATCCCCCCACTCCCCACTTGCCCCTCTTAGGTTCTGCTAAGTCTGTCTTAACCCTATTCTTCAGGGAGGTTATACCTGCTCCCAGGCCCATCACACTTCAGTTATTTATGGGTTTGTGTGTGTGTATCTCTCCATTCATTCTCAGCATATTTTTACAAGAAGTCCTGATGCAGCCTCAAAATTCTCAACCCAGCAATCCCAGTAGCCCGTACCAATTGGTGGGGGTTGGTAATTAAGATTAAATCTGAGTGTTCTGCTATCATATCTCCAAAATGTTTTTCTGGGCTCCCAACATTATGACAGAGGCTCCACTGTCATCCTCAACTTATGCCCCAGCAATATAAGGCTGATGGTGGTAAGGCCTACAGGGTCTGCCTATTTATGTATTCTTTGAGTCATGGCTGAAGCCCAGCAAGGTGTTTGGGCAACCTGTATGCCTGGTTGCAGCATGACTTCGATAAAGAGGGGAGAGGGCATATTGCTTAGATGTGGAGGGGTCATTGTACCCATAAGGTGGCTTGATTGAAGTCTCCTTGTTTTTTTTTTCTTTTCATAAAAACATTGTAATGTCTCAGTTACGCAACAAACAAAAGCATGACTTATGTTCTACAATTTATGCTGCTGTGAATTCTTGTATGTCTCTCACATTTGAAAAATTTCATCTATCCTGGAAGTTGAGTGAAATAAACTCTCCCATCCTCTGAGGATGGCTACCTATATATGCAGGCTGAGATTGTGGAAGATTACAAGAAAAACAACATCTGAGGTGTGTTTTTTTCACATGTAGATCATAGCCTGGGGAAGAGACAAGATTTATATGTGAAATAAAGGAGAAAAAGTTCACTTAAGTTGTCATTTATTTGAAACTCTGTTCCCAAGCAACTTCACATATTGAGAGGTTCAGAAAAGGACAAAAATGGCCTTTGAGAAGTCATGTTTTTCTACATTGGCAATTGGAAGCAGCGAATTAGAATGGTGGGCTTGGGGAAAGTATTGGCTACTACTCCCAGCCTCACTGCTAATGGATGGTGAAGTGATACTTTTTTTTTAAAGGTCCTATTTATTTATTTTTAGAGAGAGGGCAAGGGAGGGAGAAAGAGAGGGAGAGAAACACTCATGTGTGATTCCCCCAACTGGGGACCTGACCTGCAATCCAGGCATGTGCCCTGACCAGGAATGGAACTAGTGATCTTTCCACTCACAGGCTGGTGCTCAGTCTACTGAGCCACAGCAGCCAAGGCTGAAATGATTCTTGACAGTCAAGAAGAAGGGAAAACAATAAAATGTGGCCCCACATCCAGCTGAGCCTGTGTAATGCAGCGGGAAAAATTCTCAATACTTCTGCTACTTTTGAAAGTTCTGGGTCTCCTCCTGATTTAATTATTGTGCATAATGATGACCCAGAATCTGTAGAAATGAATACATATTTTTGAGCGCCTATGCTAGGTAAGCACTTGACAATCCCTAGCTTACATAAGCTTGAGGGTGGTCCTGTTATCTTCTCCAGTATACAGTTTCTGTAAGGGAGGTACACATTATAGGCGTGGCAATTTGCCCAAGAAAGTATTCGAAGTGGGTTTTGAACCTTTGCAATCTAACTCCAGTTCTGAAGGTTTTGAAGAGCCTATTCGGTGAATTAGAAGTACAAAGTCATTCCGGGTAGAGGGAACAGCAAATGCAAAGACAAGGATAGTAAATTAATCACTCAATTTCACAGTCTTGGTTATTCACCTACAAAATAGGTGTATCGTCTGTCATAGGATTGTGAAAATTAAATGTGATAATGTTTACAAAGCACTTTTCGCAATGCCGGCATCATACAATATGCATAATGTTGATAACTATTTCGTTAAATATTGTTATTTCTCTTTCTATCCTTCCCCTACAGAGCGGCTTCCCAAGGACACTACATTTCCCAGCATGCCACCTCGCCCTTTGACCCTAGACAGGCCAAAAATAGCACCGCCCAGCGCCTCAAGCCGGAAGACTATAGCCTCCCGGCATGCCGCGCGCCTCTCTCCACTAGATTTGAGGCACAATCAGCGCGTTGCCTACCGGGAGTTGTAGTAAGCGGCGCGTTTCCCTGACGCCGGCCCGGCCGGGCGTGGGGGCCTGTGGGAGGTGGCGCGGCCGGGCTCAGCTGCTGGGCGAAGGCGGCGGAGAGGCCTACGGCGGCGGGGAGCGGCTGGGCCGGGAGCGGGCGCTGGAGCCGAGCCGAGCCGAGCCAAAACGGACGGCGCAGGCCGGCGTGGCGAGCAGCAACCATGTCGGTGTTCGGGAAGCTGTTTGGGGCGGGAGGGGGTAAGGCTGGCAAGGGCGGCCCGACCCCCCAGGAGGCCATCCAGCGGCTGCGGGACACGGAGGAGATGTTAAGTAAGAAACAAGAATTCCTGGAGAAGAAGATCGAGCAGGAGCTGACGGCCGCCAAGAAGCACGGCACCAAAAACAAGCGCGGTGAGTCGGCCCGGCCCCCTCATACTTCCCTCACCGCCCGGGCCCGGACTCCACCTTCATCGAACTCGCACCAGGGTCTGTTCGGATCCGAGAAATCTCCCGTCAGACTCCCTTCCGTGCCTTTCCGGGTATGGGACTTTCCCAGTCTGACTCCCTTCAGTGTCTGCCCGAGCTTGGACTCCTCCACCATCAGACTGTCATTTCAAGCTCTCTCCCCCTCAGGCTTTCCCTACTCTACCAGGCCCCTTCAGACTCTGTTTTCACAACACTCTGCCCTCACTCTGTTCCTTTCTCTTCTGCCTTTTTCTCCTCCCTCTGGCCGGCCTTCACCCACCTTCCCAGGGACCTCCTCCTTGGATCATTTCTGACGCCCATTCTAACACTTGTTCTTTCCTGGTCCCACCCCTACCCCTCTGTGGAGTCCATGAGCTCCTCTTGGCCTCTTCCCACTCTCTGACTCAGAATTTTCCTTGAGAAGCCTCCTTGACGGAGAGAAAAGGGGGCTGGGGGCGAGGAGACCCGTGGTTCTGGCTCTGTTCACATGCTGAGTGAACTTGAGCAGGTTACTTTTGCTCTTGTCTCATCTCCCCCCATCTATCAGCCAGGGTTTGGCCTCCATGAGCCCTAAAATGCCTTTCAGTTCAGTGATTCACTTCTTGTTGCTTCAGAGCCAGGTCTTATCAGAGTTTTCACGCAGTGCAAGCCTTCACCCTGTGACTCACTGCTTCCTCATCCCTTTAAACCAGAAATAAGAATTCATTTCCTCCATTGGCTGAGACTCCTCCCCAGTGCCCTCTGCTGTGTTTAAGGGCTGGGATATTGAGTCTTGAGGCACTTTACTTCTTGTTGTATGGCTTTCTGGGTAAGTGCTTTATAGTCAAGTGAGGTGAATGTGAAAATGCTTTAATAACTGTAATTTAGACATATTTGACTTGTTATGGCAACATGAGAGTGAACCATAGATAGTGTGAGACCCTCCTCCTAAGAAAGGCAAAGGTGAGAGGCTTTGAGGAGCCAGCTGTACAATTATTTAACTCAGAAGTCTGGCAGTCCCTTAGCCCTGTGACCTTGAAGGTAGTTAATTTCCCTCTCTGAAAGGAAGGTCATGGATTTACAGTGCTCAGCACCTAGTAGGGGCTAAGTAGATGTTTTCTTCATTCTAACAGAAGAACAAAATGGCCCATCCTGGGGATGCTTCTCTGTTGATAGCACATCCTGTGGAAATTCCTTCTGTGTGCTTACTGCATGCATTATGTTCATAGGATGAACAGAACAGAGCTGCCACCCTAATGAGGTAGGAGGCAGAGACAGGAAAATAGATGAAGAAAGTATTGTCTAGTTGTGATGTGCTAGGAAAAAAATCTGATGGGGAGTGATGGGATGGGAAGGGGTGCTGCTTTAGATAGAGTGGTTAGGGAAGTCCTGTTTGAAAAGGTAAGTTTGTTCCTTGGGCAAGAACCAACTCTGTAAAAATCTAGGGGAGGGGCATTCTGGGCAGGGAGAACAGCATAGGAAAAGGCTCAGAGGTTGGCTTTTAAGGAACAGAAGACCTCTGTTTCTGGCATGTAGTGATTGAAGAGGAGAGTGGTATGAAATAAGGGGTATGGGGAGTGGACCTTGAACTTCCTGGTAAAGAGTTTGGATTTTATTTCAAGTGGATGAAAAGCTGTTGGAGGGTGTTATGCAGGAGGTACATGTACTAATCATCGATAATAGTTTTAGAAACACCATCTGGTTGCTCTTTGGAAAACAGACCAGTGGAGGGCGTGAAGATGGGAGCGGGGAGACCAGTGAGAAGGCGGCTGTAGTCATCTGTCTATGGCCTGGACTCCAGTTGTAGGTCTGCAGTGGAGAACAGGTCAGATTTTGCTGTCTCGAGCTTTTTTCTTGGATGACTCTCAATCGGGATCCTTTGATGTTCATAGTAATTAGAGTCATTGTTTCTGCCAGTCTCATTTGGAATACTTTGCTCATTGCAGGGTGGTTGAGAAGGGCATCATTTTACCTCATCTCCCATCAAAGAGCAATTCTCCTGTGATCTTTTGGTCTGGAGCTAGTTTAGTTTCTACAGTTTCAGAGGGGATTGAATTTGGTTTTCAAGAGGCTTGGAGAGAGGCTTCCAATAGACCATGGAGGACCAATCTCAGTTGTAATAACTTTGCTGAAAGCAGTCTGTCTTCTTGAGTTTGCCTGAGAGGACAGGAGCTACTGCCTTTCTTTTTTGTGTCCTCTGGGGGCAAGGTCTTACCTGCTTACTGGGATAGTGCTGAGGTGTTGTCACTACCATATACCACTCGTTTAAGCACTTACTTGATACTGTGCTGCGACCTAGAGAATCAGAGATGAAAATACGCTGTGCCTGCCCTCCAGGGACTCAGGATTGAAAGTGTGTAGTTTTTTTGTTTTGTTTTGTTTTGTTTTTTAGTTTGTGTGCGTGTGTGTGTGTGTGTGTGTGTGTGTGTGAAAGAGAAAGAGAGAGGGAGAGGGAGGAGGGGAAAGGGAGGGGAGAGGGAGGGGAGAAGAAAGGAAACATACCAGGTAGTGCTGAAACATGAATGTGTACTTGGGGCCAAGGCTAAAGAGGAGAAGATTCCTATCTGGAGGGCAAGGGCAAAAAAGGCTTTGCAGAGGAAGGAGATGAGAGGTGGATCAGCAGAGAGTTTGGGGAGCTGTGAGAGTGTGGCAGGACAGCAGATAGCTAACACGGGAGTGGCCTGTAGCCTTTAGACCTTGACCTGGAGATGGTGAGGAGCCATTGGCTGTCTTCAGCAGAAGAGACAGATTAGCTCGGATATTTGAAACAACACTCCAGCAGCAGCATAAAGGAAGAAGTAGCCAGCTAGGAAGGGACTGGAGGCAGGGATCCAGTAACAGTTAGGGGTAGAATCTCACAGATAGGATTGGAGCCACAGCTTTGTCACTAGCTGTGTGCATCTTGGGCAGGTTACTCAGCACCTCAGATTCCTCTTCTATAAAAAGGGTACTAGTATCTACCTTATTGTATTAAATTATGTTATGCACGCAAAGCTCTTAGTACAATGTCTTCTATATGGTAAGTGATCAATAAATGCTTGCCATTATCATTATTACAAGGAGACTTGTAATTAGTCAGGTAGGAACAAGTGCCTAGTATAGAAGTGTGGAAAACTAGATGAGAAGCAATAATGTCAGACTTTTCTGAAGGAGAATCAGAAGAGGCTGGGTGATGGATTAGAACTGTGTACAGGATGAAGGAGAAGGAATTGAGGACAATTCCCAAGTTTACAGCTCGGACAGTGGTTGTAGAGCGATGCCGTTAACCAAGCTGGAGAACACAGAGGAGGAGCAGTACTTCACAATGGTATAGTTTTTTGAAGTTTGTAAAAGTCCTTTTGTCATGGGAGTCTCACAGTGTCTGTGGATACTGTGAGTTCCATGAAACAGGATGTGATACCATGTTCCTCACTATGTCTTCAGCACCTAGCAGAGTGCCTGGCATGTGGTTAATGCTTAGTAAATATTTATTAAATGAATGAAAACGTGTATGTTCTGTTGTTATTCCCATTGTATAGAGAGGAAAATGAGGCTAGAGAGAGCATGTAATGACTCAGAGACCAGTTCTTCTGGTGGTTGTGGGCACCTGGTGTTCTGTTTACTCCCTTATGGCTGAAGGTATCATCATGACCTTTGTTATTGCTCAGCTCATTAAACTGGCACCTGTGCAAGGTGTGGTGCTCAGTGGGAGAAAAAGAAGTGAAATAGGATCAGGCCCTGCCCTGTGGACTGTATAGCCAAACGTGGACGCTATCTTTGTGGCATACACATTGGAAAGACAATACATTGCCCTTTGAAACAAACCTGTGAAGGTCAAGGACATTATTTGCAGTGTGCAGGTGTGTTCCAGGCAGTAGTTTCAGTTAGGAGATTAGAGCAAAATTTGGGTTGCATATTTTTTCCAAATTGCTTTTCCTTTCCCTTAGTCATTCATTCATTCATTCTTAAAGATGTGGTAGGCTCTTAAACTGTGTTCTAGGCTGCATACTCAGTGCTAGGAATGCAGAGACACCAGACATGGTCCCTGCCATCCAGGAAACTTAAATTATCATTACTTTCCTTTTTTATAAAGTAGAAATTATATTCATCTCACGTGACTATATGGTGAGGATTAGCTAAAATAATGTATGAAAGAGTGTGGCACAATGTGAATATTGAGTAAGTATACTTTTCTGATGAAGTTATTGTTGATCAGACTTCTTTGGTTTGATTGTCAAAATGGAAAAGTTTTTTCGCTGAGAACTAGATATAAACCAGGATTGCAGTCTAGGTGAAATGACAAAATCACCCAGACTTAGGCCTTTTTTTGGTACCTATCTAAAGAGTGTCTTGTTGGTTTTCTTCCTAAGAAGGATGATCAGATATCAGAGATTCTTTTCTTCTTAAGGCATTGTAACTATGAAATATCTACGCTAGGTGGTTCAGATTTCCCTTTTGCCTTGTTTTAATAAAAATGAAAACAGTTTGTACAGAGGATAATACTTTAGTTTAACAAGAGAATTGTGTGAGATTGGGAAATGGAGACTGGGTATCTCAAATACCCCACACTGGTAAATTTCTTTGGACTTATGGATGTAAATCAGTTCATTTACAGGTTAATTTAGGTTTAGCCGAAAATGTCTGATCGATGCAGAGAGGCTAGGAGCTCAGGGGAAATATGTCTTCATTAAGTCCTGCTCATTGCTGGAGCCAGGGTGACTCTCTCATGTTTAATAAAGTTGCTGTAAAACACTGGCATGTGGGAAGACATCCTAATAAGTTAAATTTATAGTGAACGTGGCTTTTTGGTCCTCTGGAATCAAAGTATCAGGTTGAAAATCACAGCATCTTAATGGTACATGTGCCAGCAGGATCTCCTCTTCCAGAGGCCCAGGGGTGGAAAACCTGAACCCCGCCCCCAGCCCCACCGAGGAACTGAGCAGTGGGAATTTCCCTTGGTGACACTTAGATTTCTTGTTTGAAGAAAT